CTGGACCCATTTCAGTCCGGCTTCAGACCCAGGTACGGTACTGAATCTGCCTTGGTCGCCCTGTACGATGACCTGTGCAGGGAGAGAGACGGGGGAGTGCGTCCCTGTTGGTTCTCCTGGACCTCTCAGCGGCTTTCGATACCATCGATCATGGTATCCTTCTGGAAAGGCTAGCGGGATTGGTAGTTGGAGGCACTAATCTGCAGTGGTTCCGCTCCTATCTCAATGGCCGATTCCAGAAGGTGGTGCTGGGGGACTATGGCTCTGTGCCATGGCAGTTATACCATGGAGTTCCGCACGGGTCCATTTTTTCCCCCTTGCTATACAACATCTACATGAAACCGCTGGGAGAGGTCATCAGGAGGTGTGGGCTGCGGAATCATCAGTACACTGATGATACCCAGCTCTACCTCTCTTTTTCAACCAATCCAGGTGAGGCAGTGGCTGTGCTGAACTGGTGCCTGGCCGAGGTAATGGGCTGGATGAGGGCCAATAAACTGAAGCTCAATCCAGACAAGATGGAGGTCCTGTTGGTAGGTGGTTTGGGCTTTGGGGTGGGGGACCTGGACCTTGTCCTGAATGGGGTTGCACTCCCTCTTAGGGACAAGGTTTGCAGCTTGGGAGTGCTCCTCGACCCTGAGCTGTCATTAGAAGCTCAGGTGACAGCGGTGGCGAGGAGCGCTTTCCTTCAGCTTCGGCTGATTGCCTGGCGACAGTGACACATGCACTGGTAACTTCCTGATTAGACTTCTGTAACGCGCTCTACGTGGGGCTACCCTTGAAGACGGTCTGGATACTTCAATTGGTGCAAAACAGAGCTGCCAGGTTGCTGACGGGGACTGGGCGTTGTTCTCATATAACCCCAGTTCTCCGTCAGCTTCACTGACTCCCCATTGAAGTCCGGGCCCAATTCAAGGTGTTGGTTATGACCTATAAAGCCCTAAACGACTTGGGACCTGGGTACCTGAAGGAGCACCTGCGTCCATATCTGCCCTCCCACACCTTGAGATCAGCGGCAGAGGCCCTTCTCCAGGAGCCCTCTGTGAAAGATATTAGGAGTGTGAGTACCCGGAGGAGGGCCTTCTCTGCGGTGGCGCCCAACCGATGAAATGCGCTCCCCAGAGAGGTCCACCTGGCGCTGTCATTATTTGTTTTTCAGTGCCAGGCCAAGACCTTTTTGTTTAAAAGTTATTTTAATTGTTAACTTATGAATTGCATTTATGGGATTTTTAGGTATATGCCGAGATGCTTCCTGTTTTTTAACTCTAATTGTATAAATTGCTTATTTATGTTTATTTATGATTGTTGTAAGCTACCCTGAGGCTTTTTGCAAATGGGGCGGCATAAAAATGGTTTAAATAAATAAATAAATAAATAAATTTGTTAACTTCCATGAAGCAGCTAAGTAATTTAAAACAGAATGTACCTGCATGAATATTAAGGACAATTTCAGTAAAAATGTATCTGCATAAGAGCCTCCCAGCCTAAACAAGCAACTACTGAATGTTGCCAAAATATATGTTGAAAAGAAGCGTTAGTTGCATCGCACCACTAGAAATTACGGTTTCTGTAATTAATTAATGTGATGGTTCTGAACCAGTGTCTGGGCAGTGCAATGGGCGGGACGAAGGCCAGTAAGTTAAGGCTTAATCCAGACAAGATGGAGGTGTTACTGGTAGGTGGATCATCAGTTCAGGTAAGTAAGATTTGCCCTGAGGTTGCACTCCCCGCAACTCACTCCTCGCCCCCAAGCTTTCCCTGGAATTCTAGGTAGCTTCTGTGGCAGGGAGTGCTTTTCAACAGCTGAAGCTGGTCTATCAGCTGTTTCCTTATCTGGACAGGCAGTTTGTATGTGTGTGATATAATTCTGTTTCAATCCAGTACTGTAAATTGTTTTTATGTTTGTATTACTGTAAACCATTGAGAGATATTCTATGCAGTATAGATTTTTAAATAAATAAACAACAAACCAGCCAAAGTGAACCATCCCTTATTTCAAAATGCTGTGGTGTCCAAATACTCCCTCCCGCAATTGTCGTTGTTGCTGTTACTCTGGCTGAACAAGACACTGAATAAGAAGCGCCATAGGCAAGACGCGCAGATGCCAAAGCAATGATTCGCTGATTAGGCTCTCGTTTGTGGTGTTCCCCAGCAGGTTCCTGAATTCCCAAACATGCCCATGGGTCCAGCAGGTAGGAGGCCCCAGCTGTAGTCTGTTTGGCTGCAAATGTCAAGGCAGCGAATGATGAAAAACCAAGGGACACAAAAGCATGTGCAAAACAGTCCTGTAAACGAGCATCGTATGGAAGCCTATTCCCATGCCATGAGATCTGGTTCCCTCTCACTCCTGTACGTGCCTCTGCAGCGTGTGACTCTGGAACATTAGAGCACGGAGCTGAGGCTGAGAGAAGCCAACCGGCGTGAAGGCACTGCCTCTCCTGCCTTGCACTGGCCCTCTTCTGTAACAGGACACCACAAACACAGCTTCCCCTCCTCCTGCAAAGCCGTGATAATGGGAGACGTACGGGCAGCCTTGGGTGGCTGTGCAGGAGCACGTGTCCAGCCCGGGGCCTACCTGAGTTGCATGCCCGTGCTCCAAGAACACATGTCCTTCCTCAGCAGCAGGTTGTTCAGGGCCACGGCATTCATCATGTAGAAGAGCTGCTTCACGGCCTGCTGGATGATCTCGGGGTCGAGGCCCTGGTCGTACATGGTGCTGTGGAACGTGTTCAGTTGACGGATGAGTGCCTCCAGGGTGTAGGAATTGTCACTGTCCCCCATGCTAGAGCTTCGCTTCCGGTAGCCCATCGGCTTCACACCCGACAGGCCCTGGATACTTTCATTTTCCAACACCGCAGTCACTGGGATGGAGATAAAAGGCAGGAATTACTTCCACTGCAGTGCGCTCCCTTCACTTTTATGCTTTTCTATCCCATTTTACTCTTGCAGCCTTCATGGTTGCAGGCTGGAAAACCATGGATCTGTGCAGAGAATTTCCATTATCAGGCAAATTTAAAATATAATTCGAATGAATAAACAAGTAAATAAAATTATCCGTAGGCAAGCTAGACATGCCAAGAAACTTGCAACATCGGCATTTCAGAGCGAAATCTTCCTTAATGCTCCTGATGAGCTGCAAGAATCGGCCTTCCCCAAAATGTCACACTTTACATTATGGCTGATTAGCATTCAGTCTAATGAACGGATAGTGATTGGAGGAAGCAGCTCTTGCTAGTGACTAAATGCAGTGCTTTGGCGATGTACAAGGAGCACCGATGACAGGAACTCTTGGACTTCCCAGCCACTGGCATGGGCAAGGGAATTTGACTTTGTACTCCTCGTGCATCAGTGTGTCGGGAGGGATTCATTAGCTAATGGTTATAAAGCAATGAAATGCTGTAGGTGATAGGATGGGTTAGAACTCAATTAGCATGCTGTAAAACTTATGAACACCTCTACATGGAGATGTAATAAATTCATACAACAGCTCGGACATGCTGTTCAGATGCATTCCATATATTAAGCAATTAAATCACGGAAGGGAAAAGGGAAGTGGAGAGAGATTAACTACATCCCCAGAACCTGAAAATTGGGGTAACTGGTAGCTGAGGAGGGACATAGCTCGAAACAGCTCAGGGCATCCCTTTTCAGCCCAAGGGCCATGTTGCCTTGGTGCGTAGCGCATGCCACCAGGTGGGGCTTGCCACACACACACATACTTTATGTAAGCTGTCCCAAGGCATTAAGCAATGGGATGGCATATAAAAACCCCAAACAAACAAACAAACAAACAAACAAACATTATTTTCTGGTTGTGGAAATTCAGTTTTGAATTCCTATGAAGAAAATAGTGTGGGAAAGCTCAATAATCCATGCCAGATCCTTGGAAGCTTCTGATCATAACTTCACCTTTAAAAATCTGTTTTCATTTTCAGTTCCAGTAAGATACTCTTCAGCATCCAGCTCTCCATGGGGATAGTCCGAAAACATCTCCATGGATGAAAACGTGGCATCCAGAGAGGCTTACGATGGGCACAAAGCACCGAGAACAGCTGCTCTGCAAGCCCCCTTGAAATAAAGTGCTACTGTGGTGTGGAAGGGGGCGTGCTGGGCTGGGGACCCGGGAGATCCAGGTCTGGCTCCCATGCAGCCATGAAGCTCACAGGGTGACTTTGGGACAATTACAAACTCTCAGCCTAACCAACCTCACAGGGCTGTTGTGAGGAAAAAGTGGAGCTATGTAAGCTGCCTTGGGTTCCTTGTAAGCCGCCCAGAGACGAAAGTGATGGATGGCCTAGAAATATTCTAAATAAAAAAAAATAAAAATAAATACATAAATAACGGTGAGATACACATGCAAGAGAAGCAAAAATGGTGCTTGGAGCATCGGGGCCCTGGGTAACTCGGTGGGCTGCATGTTTTGCCTACAGCATTATAGGTATGAATCTGTTTCTCCTGGATTCCATTTTTCGGTTTAATGTAGTGATCAGCACAAGTGTGTCTGGTCCCGCGTATGGACCACTGAGCGGAGTTAAACTGTCTATTGCACTTTACCGATCATGGGCTGCAAGATGCCTTCTGCAATTTTAATGAGCTGCTGGTAGATGTGAATGGAGAGATCATTCAGGACCTGGCGGTACTCGGTGAGGTCGAAGTTCTTCAGACAATGCTCATTCTGCTTAGCAGTGTTTTGGGTCATAAAACCCTAAAATGGGAGAGCAACAGAATAGAGAAATTTAGCCAGAACAGGTAACAATACCACCTACCTTCATGTTAACAAACAATCAGACAAACTCTGCTGCAAATATCACCCTGGGAACATCCGGTGCTTTTTCACGAGATCCCACGGCAGGTCACGCATCAGTGTTCGCTTCAAGTTTGGCTGCAGGGAACTCACGAGACGTCCAAAGCGACTCTGCGTGGCTGGCTGGGTTCTGGTATCGCACTTGATGTGCAGCTGTCCCTGGTTGGTGGACGACTCTCTGTCGCTTGAGAGTTTCCAGTGAGAGAGCAGGGAACTAGGTGAGCTCTGAGTGTTCTCTTGCTCTGACCAGATGTGATGGACACCACTTTGGATGGTTTTAAAAGGAGGTGACCCCCAATTCAGGGAGAAGGCTATCAGTGGCTAATACTAATGGCTACATGCAGAGGTGGCATGCATAAATATACCAGTTACCGGGCATCATGGGTAGGGGGTGCTGCTGCACCCGTGTCTTGCTTGTGGCCTTCCCCTAGCAGCTGCTTGGCCACTGTGTGGATGGAATTTTCCACCAGATGGAGCTGTGCTTGAATCCAGTGTGGCCCTTAAGTTGCTTTGTGCAACCATGAAACAATACCTACAAAAGGCAGCAAGACACAATGGAATGCTGCCCAGAGGTGCTGTGGCACAACTGGGCCACACACAAATGTGATAGATAGAGATAGAGATAGAGATAGAGATAGAGAGAGAGAGAGAGAGAGAGAGAGAGAGAGAGATTCCATGGGATTTTTTTGCAGAAGGGTGTGCATAGGATTGCAACCTTGGCCCCTTTTTCCTGGTGACTATCTAAAGGCATTTTTATTGTTGCTGTTGCTCTAAATCAACTGAAAAAGCAAACCTGAAAATCTGCCAAAATTTCCAGATTAATGCAACAAAAGGGCGAAAAAATACTATATAGTAATAGCAAACTCATTTTCACTGTGTGTGGATCCTTACATAGCCAAAATGGCAGAATTCATGCATGGAGAAACAGCAGCAGGCAAATTCCCAAATTTGCAAAAGTGCAAAAAATTCTGTAGAACTAAAAAGACAAGGGAGAAACTGAGGACTAAGCACTCTCAAAGGGCACAAAAGCTGATGGGTGGAAGAGAAAATGGAAGACTGGGCAGGGAAGATATGGATGGATTATACAGGTAAAAGGAACGACTGGCTGAAATCCAGGACAGAAGCATTACGTGGTGCAACACTCTGTTGCAGGTCCCACCTGCTAAGATACCCAAGATAACTAAACAGTTTTTTTCATCTTAGTTTTAATACTGCATTTTAGTCTGCCCTGCTGCTATATTCCTGCACTGATTTAATTGCAATCGCTGTGATTTTACAGCATATTGTTTAATATGCTGTTTCCCTACGTTCTAACTTTTGTTTACTGCCCGGAGAGCCTTTTGGCTATTTGGGCAGCATAAAAATTAAATAATAAATAAATAAATGTTTCTGCAGCAACATCCACAGGGCTGAAATAAACAGGAGCTGTGGTCATTTCAGGACAGGCTCCCCAGACAACCTACAAGTTCCAGGGGGAGCCATGGCAACATTTTTAGTAAGCAAATATCCATTCTTCCTGCCACTCTTCTCTCACCTGATCTCCGCTGTATTGCTTCAGACAGTGTAGAAGGCGACAGGTGTTGGCCAGCCAAAATGAGGTCATCTCAAAGTCCTCATGCTTCTGTGAAGAGTCCAGAATAAGTAAGATAAAGTTCCTTCCTGAAACTTAGGCATTGATGGGTTAATTGTGCTAATTGTCCCCCAGATTGTGCTATTTGTCCCCAAACAGCTTGATGCCTTTGAAGGAGGAATTAATTAGTTGGGATTGTGAGCCAGTGAGCCAGTCTCCTAGCCAGTGTGTTAGACAACATAGCCGTGCCACTGAATTGAAGGGCATCTGAGGAAGAATCTGCCAAAAGAGCAGTCATGACCATCCCGTGACTGTCCTTAAGCCCATGCAGCTCTTCTTTGGCTCAGGAGTCTTTCCCTGGATCCTCCAAGACCAGAAGCTTCTCCATTTCTTTCCGCCATTTTCTCTCCCCCTTTCTTCTCCGCTGGTTTGTCTTGGTGGGCTTTGGCTGGTGGCCAAGATGGATGGCACTGCACCCACTGGCACAGGGAGGGAGACTGCAGTGCAGCTTGCTCCTGCCAGTCACTGGAGATGCTGCCCACATGGAAGAGCTGCTCCTGGCAGCTGCAGCTGGTCCTCCCACAGGGGGCAAGATGCCCAATGCCCAATGCCCAGCCCTCTTCATGGAATTCTGGGTAGGCAAAAACTCCAGTCTCTGCCTGGGGTTCATCAGAGGGTCAGTGGGGAGAAATACAGAGGTGAGAGAGAAAAAGGAAGGATGGGAGGGAGGGAAACCTAAGTAGCAACAGTGGCTGGCTTCTTAGGAACACCAGCTCACCTGACCTCACAGGTCACTAAGCCAGACCAGCTTGGGAGTCTGGATGTCTCCTCCCATGGAAGAAACAACAGTTTGGTATGCGCTCCATGTCCACTCCTCCGCAGACCTCCAAAGCAACAGCACTGGGTGCAACCCGAGGTCTCTGTCTCAAGTGAGTAATTCTTATGATCTCTCACCACTGGCTGTGCTGGCCCAGGCTGACCGAAGTTCTAAGCCAAACATCTGGAGTGCTACATATTGCCCATTCCTGGTCTAAAACCAAACCAAGTAAAACAACGAAGAGGAATTCCTGCCATGGTTGCAGAAGCTCTTGCTTGTGCCTTGGGGATTTCTGCAATCAGCTTGATCATTCATTCATTTTTCAATTTATATCCTGCCTTTTCCTACAAAGGGCTCAAGGCAGCTTACATCAATCTCCTCCTCCACCTTATCCCCACAACAACAACCCTGTGAGGTAGGTTGGGCTGAGAGTCTGCGACTGGCCCAAAGTCACCCAGTTGGCTCCATGGCTGAGTGGGGACTTCAACCCAGATCCTCTGAGTCCCAGTCCCATGCTCTTAACCACTGCACCGCACTGGCTCTCATCTCTTTAAAGGTGTTGAGTATTGCTGGGGAGACTGCTCCTCTGGATCGCCCAGGCATACAATTTCCCCAGATAACCTCTACTACCTACCATGTAGAAATATCTTTAAAAGTGTCATTCTGGCTGCTAAAATTAAGCCCGCAATTTACCTTTAATACTTTTTTAATGCCATTGATGGTAGAGGTAAGCAAGGAGTGCACTTTCTGGTCATCGTTGATGTAATCTGCATGCCGGATGCACATGTAAAGGATGTAGGCTGGAAGGCAGGGTACCGTGGCCGAGACCGTTTGGGGTTTCAGTTCTGTGAACATGAAAGAAAACCTTTGACTGACTTGACTTCTTAGCAGCATAATTATATAGCATACATAGACGAGCACAGTTATCCGAGCCAATCATGATCAAATAACGGAATTACTTGCATTATTTGACCTCATTCCTCCAATATAAAATCTATACAAAGAACTTTCTCATTAATTTTTTTTTAAATCCCAGTTATGTATGCAATATGGATGTCTTTGAAGTAGTTAGGTCTAGGAACCTATTGAGAAGAAACAGAATTAAATCTCTTACATATGTATGAAATTCAGAACTCGTTTCTGTAGATTACAACACGCTTTGGCATATGATGTACCATAAAAGTATAATGTACCCTAGCCAGGAAACTGGTTGTTTAGAAGCCTGCACTGCAAGCTGTATTTTTATATGCTTTTTCCATGAAAGTATTTTTCATAGCATCTCCAAAATATGATAGTTTGCACTGCTTCCCATTGTTCTTCATAAACATGAAGGCCATATATCAAAAAGATCAATGTTCTAGCATTCCTTAAATCTGGCATTCCTGAAAATTTCAACAGGTTTCAAATTGAAGACTCCTTTTCAGCTTGCTAAGGTGTTCTGCACATTACAGCAACTCTCCAATCTGCAGGTGCAGTGACTTTGCAGAAATAGTCCCTGAGCGACTTTCATTTTTCTACATTTTGTTGTGTTCCGACCTGGAATTGAAATGGATTTAACTGGCATTGTTACCACTGGATATACACAAGATACTCAACACTGTGAAGGTGCAAAATATTTGTCTTGTAGCACAAAAGTTAAGCAAAAACAAAAATAAACTGGTTCCTGCTGGTTATATAAGTATTTACTCCCTTTGCTGTGACATGCCTAAATAAACTCTCCCTCCAGAAGTCACACACTCTAAGTAGTTTTTATGTCTTTGTCGAATGGCGTCCACCTGTGCGCAATTCCTGTGTCACATGGTGTCAGAATAAATACACCACTTTCTGGGAGACCCCAGAGTTTGTTGGAGGATGTATCTAAAGAAATAGCATAACGAAGACCAAGGAGCTATCAAAACATCTCCAGAATAAAGTTATGCAGAAGCACCAATCAGAGTTAGGTTACAAACTACGAAATTCTCCCAGAGCACTGTTAAGTCCACAGTACGGAAAGAATATGGCCCAGCAGTTATTCTGCCTAGAGAAGGTCATCCACCAAAATGCAATGACCGGGAAAAGAGGGCATTAGTCAGAGATTCAACCAAGAGGCCAACGGTAATGCTGAAGGAGCAGGAGAGATCCTGAGCTGAGATCGGGAGAGATCATCCATGGGATAACTATCACCCAGAAGCTCCACAAAGCTGGGCTTGATGGAAGGCTGTCCAGAAGAAAGCCAAAGTCATTTGGAGACAAAGCAAATGCATGGGAAAAGGCTGAACTTTTGGGCCTAGTTGAAAGATGCTATGTGGGGCACGAACAGTGCGCACTTCTTTGACAATACTCTCCTTGTAGTGAAGCACGGCGGTGGGTGCATCATGTTGAGGAAATGTTTCTTCTTGGCAGGGACCGGGAAACCGGTCAGGGCTGAGGGCAGATGGAGGGAAACAGAAACAGGGCCATGCTAGAGAAAACCCTGTTTCGGTCCACAGGGGGCCCAGGACCTTCCAGCAGGACAATGACCCTCAGTGCACAGACAAACATTTGGACTGGTTTAAAAACAAGAACCCAATTGTCTCAGAATGGCCCAGTCAAAGCCCAGGACTCAGTATGACTGACAATCTGTGGCTGGACCTAAAAGTTACTGCTCACCAACCTACCTGGATCAATGGGCTGCAGGATCCAGATGCACAAAGCTGATCAAGACTTACCCAAAAAGTTTGCAGCTGGAATTGCTACCCTTTCTACCAAGCACTGGGTGAATAGTTATGCAATCAGCAGATGCCAGTTTGTTTCTGTTTACTCTGTGTCACAACAAGCATAGTTTGCACCTTTGCAATGATGGGTATCTTGGATACATCAAGTGGAAACAATGCCCATTCAATCCATTTCAATACCAGGCAGTTTTCCACACAAGAAAATGTGCAAAATTCAACAAGAGCTGAATACTTTGCAAGGCAAAGTTAAGCTCCACTGAGTTTGGCAGGGTTTGCTTCTAAATTCTGCACTGCAGTCTAAGCATTAAAATGTTTTTTTCAAAAACTGGACAAAACTAAGTTTTGTTGATTTAAATGTTTTATAAATGATGATAGATTTTTTTCTTTTAAAAGAAATACAGGGGTCCCATTTTGACACGATCCTTCCAGTGGTTTCCCATGTGAATTCCTGATGCAGCCGCTTGGTTTTGGTGGTGTAGCAGCCTCTGCAGCCCTGCTTCTTGGAAAACTCTTGAAAAATGTGTTTCTATTTTGCATTTCTACTGTGAAAGCCCTACATACTACTGAGGGGTGTGTGTAAGTTCTCAGAGGCAAGCTCTGCAAAACAAGGTCTGCCAGGCCAGACTGAAGATTCATCTAGTACAGCTTCTTGCCAGGCATCATGGTGGCGGAAGGTGAAGGATGTTGCAGTCCAACCCATAAACATCCATGGATCTCTGTCACGCCCTCTCTGGATGACCACGGACTTGGGGTGGCTTGGGCACAACTTGTATCAGTGATTGCCACAAAGTAATTAGGTGCTGTGCAAGGAAGGTCTTCCTTTGTTCTGTGTCTTTGTGGGACACTGGTTGGACTTGCCGAGTTATCACAGCCACGTCATACGCAACTGAACTGTATCAACACTGCCTGAGCTGTGGTGCTCTGGTCACCTGCTGCTGGATTCAGAAGACCTGGAACCCTAAAGATGGAAAGGGAGCTGAGGATGCCATTAAATGCCCTCCCATCAATGTGCTGCCCCAGAAGAGGGATGGGCAGGAAGCAGATCTCCGGATGTTTCAGAATTCAGTTCCTAGCATTCCTGACCATTGGCCACACTGGCAGTGGCTTCTAGGACTTTAAGTCCAGAACATCTGGGGATCTACCTTCTATCTACCCATGCACAATAGCAATGTCCCTTCCCACTGAAGGGAAGCTGTCCATCAAAGGGAAATATCAGTAGAAGTTAGCAAGCTGTTCTTCAAGGAAATACATCTGTCCTGGCTGGTCTTCAAACTGAAGACTTTCAGCAGCTGAGAAACTCCAGATCAGTGTCGACCAGCTGCCTACAATATAAATAATCAGGACTGACAAGCAAAGCACGAGCATTCACCTGTAACGAGATTTCTGATGAGCAGTGTCTCATCCTCTTTGCCATATTCCAGCATTCCCTGGAAGTCTTTCTCCTTCCTCTGGACAGTGACCTGTCTGTTGAGCTCAGGCCGTGGCTTTTCAGAGTGTATGTTGGCTTGATCAGCTGTGAAAACAGAACAGAACATCCGATGCTGAATGAACAAGAATGCCACCAGGGTGCTTCAGAAACGGGGCCAAGCAGCACTGCAGAAATCTGGCCACTTTGCTGCTTTTCTGCAAATGGGCTTCGGCAAAAGTGGCATGGGAGGTCTCCCACAAGACTAGGGATGAGCCGCAGAATTGCACACCTTCTCAGTGCAGATTCCTTTGCACATCCGTGTGGTCAGGGCAGCCATTTCCAACTTGGGACTCCCCAGATGAGTTGGCCTGTAAGTCCCAGCATCTGGAGCAGCCCAGATTAGGAACGACTGGTTCAGAGGTGCGGCTACCTCAAAGCCACACTGATACTTTGAAGTTTGCAGACAGTTTCTCGTAAGGAGGAGGAGGAGAACATACTCAAAGTAAGGTTGTGGCAGGAATAGTCCCCTTCATGGAACATGCAAAAGGGGAAACTAGCCTAGGGATGGATGTCTCATCTCCCTAAGGTCCTGGCAATTCCTTTCTATGGCAGAGGCTTCCATCATTCAAGCCTGCAGCTGCAGTCTGAGATAGTCCATAAGGAAGTTTACCTCCTCTTCTGCCATCTCTGAGAACTAAGCAACAGCTGCATTATTTAAAACAGTTCCATGGTCCATGAAGCAAAGATCTGGTCACAACCAGCATGTCATCCTTCCCCAAGCTGCACCACATGCTGGTTAAGAATGGCAGGTGCTGCAGTTCAACCCCTCAGCTGGGCACCAGATTGGGGAAAGAGGACATGATGTCCTTTCACACTACATGGAAGAAAGAGCTTGCACAAAGCCATCATGCAATTCACCAGGTTGGAGAGGGCTACACGGTGTCATAAATGCAATTCACCCTCCATCCTCAAAGCCCAATCCTAAGTACTCAGTATTAAACTCTGACCCTCTCGCTTCATCCCACAGGAGCAGATTTTCAGCAGTAGCAGTTAGACCAACCTGCTGTATTCACAGAAAAGAGAAGCACAGCTGTAACTGCACAATAAGTTGTTGACCAGACTGGAATTACTATCGCCTCAATAAGTGGCTTACGGCACAGGTTAACTTCTGGGGCACCCACTGGCGAGTGTTCCAGCCATGACACAAATTAAGAAAATAGATATTAAGACACAGTTCCAACAATGAGGCAAGCATCAGTTTGATGCATGTTAATTACAGAGACAAGGACCATCTGCACCAGCTGTTGCAATTCCAAATCCCTTTTCATTCAGCTTAATTTCATTTAATGAGCAGCTTTCCAAAACCAGTCCTTGGGACGAAAGCTTGCTGTAACTAATCAATCTGTCAAACCACCTAGATAGAAATAACTGAAGAGCTGCATGGCTATCTTGTTTCTGTGTTCCTTTCTTGTGCGGCTGTTGCAGCCACCACTGCAAATACAGGGGAGTCCCTTAGTAGCCACAACTGATGCGACACGTACCAGCAGGTGGAGCATTTCTCCTTCAATATGGGCAGAATCAAAACCGAAGTAGCAAAACAGAGGCCATGAGGGGGCACCAGCAGCAATATTTTTAATGCAAAAGCTTTCCTAAAATTGGCCTTTCTTATGTGTAAGAGGACAGAACTGAATGCCCAAGTCTCAAGACTGCTGAGTATGGAGGCGGGGAGATAACTGACTGCAGTCAGGTACCCCTGTATCCTTGGGAAATCTACCCTGAAGTACAAACAGGTAACGATGATTTTGACTTCCAAAGGTGCCTGACAATATTGCTCTCCTATAGATGGTCCTTATTATTTCCACCAAGATCTGGCTCTACACCCTGAAGTTATACAAGCTGCTGCAGCCTCACAGTACTTTACTTTTATTACTTTAAAGATATGCTAGGTTTTCAATTCCACTGAATTGGAAAACTGCAGAACAAAACAATGATTCATTAAATTTTCACTGCAGAGGGACTATCTGAAACCAGGTTTACCTTCATAATCTTGCACTTTCTTCATGTAAATCCTGAGCTGTTTTTTCAGCTTCCTTTCATTCTTTTCTAGTTTTTCTAGCAGCTCTTTGAGATCCTGAAAGATGGAAACAGTTAAACTGCGACACAGAGAGAAGCAAGCATTGCACTTTACTAAGACCCACAAATACAAAATCAGCTGGTAAACAGAAAGGAAAGGCTTTGCTGAAATTGAGTTGCATTAATCAGTGTGGATGGTCTTACTTCAAACAGGAAGCCTGGAAATGTACATTTCAAAAGGTTCTACAGTAGCTAGAAAAATGTCACTGCGGATGTGATTGGCATTGTCTTTTAACTATGGGAAGTTCTAGGGCCTAACCCTATCCCTATATGCTCTTCTCAGGCCTTAATGTTTTATTTTAGGGGAGGCATGAAAATCCCCATAAATCCAAAACACTGGAATGGGCTGTAATTGGTGTATTCAGAAAATGCTGGTGGCAGTTTCGCACACTCAAGATAGTGCTTTATCATCTCATGTATCCAAGTCCTTTGCTCCCACCTGATGGGATCTACTACATGCCCAGGAACAAAAAGTTGGAATGAACTGTAATGAGAGCTGGTTTGGTGAATTGGACAGGTTAGTTAGAAAGTTCACTGGATGGGAAGACACTAGCTTTCCACCCGACCTGCCCCAACAGGATGCAGTGATGATCTGTTTGGAGAAAAATGTCTAAGCTGCCACAGCTTTTATGAGGAAGAACAATATAAAAATATGATAAACTGAACAGAAGCATCTGGAAAAACTCAGCACTGCATTTCCCCTTTCAGCTGAAAGATGCTGTGCTCTTCTTCCTCTGAAGTATTAACATACTTGTGTGTGTGTTTTAAAGCTGTACATTGATTTTTCTTTCAGGGTCTATTTCAGTCTGCACCAGGCTAATCAATCATGCATTGTGAGCTTTTCATATAACAGTAATATGAGTAATTTGTCAAGTTGCTCAGGGTGAGGGTGAATTATTTTAAAGTGCCCGTGTCATGTTCTCTTTTCCCTCTCTGCTCAAGTCAGCTGCCTGATCTAGCTGTAATGTCACTGAAAACGTGATTCCACCATGAAGAAGACAGTCTGCTTCAGTTTGTCCAGGATAAGGGTTCAGACTAAACTTCTCCTTGGCATGCTATTTTCTATGTGTAGGACTGTCTCCCCTTCTAGAAGAAAGCAACCCCCTCACTTCTAGCACCATTCAGGGAGAGCGGTGTTCCTTGTTTGTGCACAGAACACAGAACTTCTGTTCAGGCTGAACAGATAACCAAAGATTACAACACATCCTAATAGAAATGTGCCACTAAAAGTGATAAATAGTTGGTAAGGATTCCACTCAGCCCCTTCATGGCTGCATCCTGCAAAGACTGATTTATTTTTTAAACAACAGAATTTAAAATACAGTTTAAATTCTGTTGAGATTTCAGATATTATTGTCATCATGTAAGGGATGTGTGCAGCTCAATAGTTTCTCCAAATCAGTACTGACAATAATGAGTCAGATTGGCTTAATGGTTCGCCTCTGTATGAGGCTGCTCCTGAATTGGTTTCTGCTAGATGAGCCCCAGGTAGCTTGAGCAGGGTATGTAATGTAGCAGCTTTCTCCAACCTGGTACACTCCAGATGTGTTGGACTGAAAGACCCACCATTCTCAGCCAAATGGGCAGGCAGGTGAGTCAGTTACTTCCCAACCCAATCATTTATCAGATCAAATTAATGCACAGAGATGACATGGCCAGGGAACCAGCATGGGAGAAGGACCTGGTGACGTATGCCAATCACAGACTTGGATTAGGTGTGACAGGAAGCTGCCAAACAGAGTCAGGCAAGGCACCGTGTAGCCCAGTTTTGTCTGCTCGGACTGGCAGTGGCTCTCTGGGATTTCAGACATGAGTCTTTCCTAGCTGTACTGGACAAGTGATTCAGCTGGAACCTCCTGCATGCAAAACAGAAGCTCTAACATTAATCTACAGCCTTTTGGTTGCATGCTAAAGAAGGTTACGAGCAGCTGTGCTGGATCCAACCAAGGGCGATGTAGTCCAGTGTTCCGTTCACGGAATGGTCAGCCAGCATCTGATGCGCACAGGTGCACTAAACAGCACACAGCCATCGGCAGCAGCAGCCACTGAGAGCTTTCTCTTCCATGAGTTTGCCCAACCCCCTTTTAAAGCATTCCAAATCGGTGGCCATCACTATGCCTTTGGGAAGTGAATTCTACCGCTTAATCGTATGCTGTGTGAAGTAGTCCTTCCTTTGATCCTTCCTGAATCACTCGCCAAACAAGCTTCATGGGATTAGGAGAGAGGATAAAAAAGTCTTGCTCTCCACATATTTTTGCACACCTCTTTCATGTCCATCTCTGTTTGCTTTTTTCCTCCCTCTAAGCTAAAACAATCTCGTTGGGGAGTTGCTGCATTCCCACCATCATTTTAGTCACCCTTTTCTGCACTTTTTCCAACTCTAGGATATCTTTTCTAGATGTGGTGCCCAGAACTGAAGATGCTGTTCTCAGTACAATTATTATCACAGATTCGTCTAGAGAGAATGATCTTGGCAGTTTTATTTTCAGTTCCTTTCCTAATTATGCCTAACATGCAGGTTGCCTTCCTCACAGCATCCATGAACTGGGTGAACATTTTAACTGAGCTGCCAGCCAAATTCTCTTTCTTGGTTAGTCACCACTAGCTTAGATCCATCAGACTATATGTGAAACTGAGATTTTTGTCCCAGTATATTTTAAAAAAACCAAGCTTGTGGTAAAAGTTTAGAAAAGCTGACAATTAAGTTCAACCCATATATGCCAGCAAACAAACCTGATTTGTACTTCCTGTCCTATTGTGCAGATTCAAATGCGGCTATTCTTTGATTTGCACACTTCTCTGTAATTCAAAAAATAATTCTTGGCTCAACAATGTAGCAAAATGAGTATATAAATTCATATTTTTGGATAATATGCAAAGTTGTTATTTTGTGAAAAATATATTAAACATTTGAATGTGTGCGTTTAACAATGTGGAAGTGGAACGTTAGAGATTTATGAATGAATTCATGTGAAACTGACATGGTCTGGGACCAGACTGAAGGATTACCCTTAGTGCTACGCATATATTAGGAGTGGATGGTCCTTCAATTTATGGTATGTTTTCAGGGTGGTCTGTGATGCCCACTCTTAATCAGAACTCCTTACTGTATTCACTTGATTTATGTGCTGGTGAATACACGTGAAAGGAACCTAGCTATACAAAAAAATCCATTTAATCCATACTGAGCTATACATAAAACCCAGTTAAATTTTTAGTTTTCAGACAATGCCTAGAATATGGAAATACTTTATTAGGGATGTGTGAGGAATCCAGCGGTGGGGTGGGGGGATGAACTCCAATGGATTTTCATGGTTCAACACCCCATATTTTGGTTCATTGGCCCTGCAGCCGTTCTGATTTGCTACAGCGCAAATGAAGCCACTCTCAGACTTCTGTCTTTAAGATGGCTGCAATTGCACATTTTAAAAAACGCTAAGGAATTTGCATGAAGTTGGCCAAAAAGTATGTCTTGCTCATGTGACTTGCACCAATAGCACGATGAATATATGCTTTGTGGATGCCAATTTGTACAAAATACTGTGATTTCCACTAATTGCATAATTTGCACACATTTTCTTATGGATATGGAAGCAGAAGGAAGGACACCAAGTGCTTCAGCACATCCTTACACTGTATAAAGTACTGGGCATGCAAAGAACACCCATCTTGGCCTGAAAGGTGTAGGTGCTTCTTTGACAGATCTAGACTGATACAGCAACTTGCCAAGAGGTTCAAGGAGGAACAAGGCTTTGCATGGCATGTCAGAAGCCATTTCTTCTAACACAAATAATTATGTTAAAATCAATAAGGGAATTAGTGGCTTGCCTGACAGGGCTTCCTTTTTCCAATTATCCCTTATTGTCTGTCAAAGAGGAGAAATCTGTCTCTCATGCCCTCCACCTATCCAGAGAAACAACCTAAGGTCACCGATTCCTGATTTTCAATACAAGCAATCCACTGCACCAATAATTTACAATTTGCTGCCTCGGTGCTTTTGCTGCAGTTCTTGACATTCATATCTAAATGATTCTGACACATCTGTTTGAATGTGATAAAGTTCTCCTAATAAGATGCCACAACGGAGCAAAAGTGGAAGCAGCAGGCAACCCCTCCTTGCCAGCTCCACACTTTGGTACTCTTTGGGAGTCTTGTTCTACCCAATGTAATATCCCCAGGTAGACCACTGGGGAGGGCCCATAACTCAGTGGCTCAGTACATGCTTTTCATGCAGAAATCATCGATCCAATCCCCAGCATCACCAGTTAAAGGAGACAGAGGACAGTAAAACCTTGCTCTCAAAACCCTGGAGCATTGTTGTCTACAAACCAGTGGCTTGAATCCATAAAGGTACAATTCAATTCATGCTTAGAAAAGAGTTATGTACTCCCACATTCCCCAGCTTCACATAGCTGGCTGGGCTGAGAAATGCTGGAATCTGTAGGACTATTTCTTTCTAAATGTGTATAGGATTGTGCCGTTTCCATAAACTCTACCTTTCCTTCATTCAGTAAATGCGTATAACTGCCACATAACACCAGTTCTCTGATTGGCTAAAAAGATAAAAGCAGGTTCAAAGGTCTAGGTGAACAAAAGAATATTCAGCATCAAAAGCCCACCAAGACTGCGTCAGGCAGACTTCTCTGGGAAGTTTTACACAATTGTGGTGCCACCAGCAAAGAGCCCACCTCCTCAGTGGTAACCTGCCAGCCTCCAGTTGGTGACTCTTAGCATCTTCTGAAGATCTTAAGGTCTGTGTAGGGACTTGTCCCTCAGCCAGCATGGACTGTGGGGGATGGAATCCACAGGACTTCGTGATTCCTACCCGCTATCCAAAACTTCTGCAAGGAGTTTGAAAAGTGGAACACGCTGACTTAAATCAAGGGTCCACAGCATTCAGTACTGACTATGTCTCACCAGAATCTCATATTATGACCTTTTTAAAGTCCTGCTCTTGGAACAACTGCATGGGGACTGCTTAGAATCCAACAGCATTTGCAGTCTGGTCCACATGGGCAGCTAGTTAACACCAGGAGTCCATCCGTCTTCCTGGCACATCACAAAATAGCCCGTGCAAGGATCATGCAAGATGAAAGCCCCATGAATTGAGCTGCTGCCAGGGAGATACAACACTGGAGAACTCGTTGCAGCTGCGTTCAGTGGGCTTTCAATATAGTTCTACCTAAATGCAGGCTGAGCATTTTGGGCTTCCATAAAATTGCACAAACTACACAGATCCAGCACTATGGGTGCAAATCTGGGCTGACTTGTTAGATGCGAGTCGTCCTTGCTGTTCTTGCTGTAGCATTAACACAAGAAGTATGGAAGCATCCTCCTCATACTGCCTGGTCACTCTATCTTGTCCACTTTGCATTTCCTGGCTTTTTTATTCAAATTTTGGTCTCCAGTCTACAATTTCACAAACTTGTAGAACAGAGACAGAGCAATCACAAAGGAATTTGTGACTAAGAACAAGTGCCAGAGGTTGATTTTTCTTCTTCCCTCTTAACTAAGAATGTATGAGGAATCTGTCTTAAGTGGAAAATCTGCCAGATTCCCTTGTTTCAGCTTCCTAGACACTGGTCTGCTTTGCAGGGGACCCAACATCCACGTCCCTGGTGAACCTGCCCAGGGTGTTCCCCAGGAATCCTCTGGTTACCTGAAGGAGTGTCTCCTTCTGTATGTGCCTGGCCACCCCTTAAGATCTGGGGCAGACGCCCTTCTCTGGGTGCCCTCCCTGAAGGAGATCAGGAGGGTGTCTACCCAGAGAAGGGCCTTCTCTGCGGTGGCACCCTGAATGTGGGATTCGCTCCGCAGAGAGGTTCGCCTGGTGCCGTCCCTTTATTCTTTTTGGCACCAGGCTAAACCCTTTTTATTTTCCCAAAGCTTTAAGGTTTGATTGTTTTACTAGGGATTTTATTGCTGTTTGGAAATTTATTAGGATGCTGTGTTTTATTTTATATTGTCTTATTGTTAAACTGTTCCGAGACCATGGTAAGGGACAGCCCAGCAAAGTTGTAAATCAATCAATCACACTGAGTGGGGAAGAAGGTTGGGCGAAGGAATGACGGCGGATGCGCCTGCTCACCATCCCCGTTTCCCACAGGCAGTGTGCAAGCCGTGCCAGCTCATGTGCCAAAGCCGCCACCCAAACGGCAGCTGCTCCTCAAGCCAAAGGAATCAGCCCAAGGGGGCCTGGCTGGGGATTGCTCTCCAGGGAAGCAGCCCTCCGATCAGTCGCAGCGCCTGCTTGCATGCCAGAGCAGCTGCTCAAACCAGGCTGGGCTCTCATGCCAGTTATGGGGCGCTGCTTTCTTTAGCGCCCGCCCTGCCGCCCAGCACCTGCCAGGAGAGCACCCACCCCTGCTGCCCACTGCACAAGAGATGCTGCCGGTGCTGTGGAAGCAGCGAGCCGAGTGCCACCAGGGCTCAGAGGGCGTTCATGGACTTCCCCTCGGTTTGGGTCTCTTTGGAGGACCAGGCTGAGCACAAGAGGAAGCCCATGAATGCTTGGAGGGACAGATTCTGACGGGGGTTGTCCCCTCCCTACTCTTAACTATTTTTCTTTTCACATTGTTTCTTGATTTTAAAAGTGGGGATTTTGAATGCGAGTGGGGACTGCCAAAAGACTGCCTTTGTCTTTTTAAAGTGGCTTTGAGAACCTTGTACAGCTGAAAAGCAGCATTGAACTCCTCCAAATACATTCCAACAATATATACCTCACTATCACCAATTACTGCAGCAACCCACAGAACAAGGCGTGAGGAATTGTGCAAGCAGCACATACCAGGTTTTCATTCATCAGCCTTGTGATTTCCTGCTGAATTCCGAACTCTGCTTGGGCTTCTGGTGACAGCTGGAGGGTCTGGAAGAAGACGCTCTGCTGCTTCTCCATTTCTTTCCTCAAAACCTCTATTTGCTTCTTCAACATTTCCACTTCCTCTTCGTGCTCCCTCCGCTGCTCCTGCAGCTGGGCCTCGAGAAGCCTGATGAGAGGAAACAGCAGAAAGAAAAACAATAATGTGGTCCTTCAAACCAAGGGGCTGCACAATGATGGGACATGATTCACTCAGTCATTATGGGCAGCTCTTAGTTTCCTAGAACAGAAACTGGGTTCTCCAAGAGGTATAGACAGCTGGCAGCTAATGGATCAGGTTTTGTATTTTGTACCAGGTGCACAGTAAAACTCCAGACCACCTGACTTCACATTCACAAGTATCCTATATACTCATTCTTTATTTGTGGATCCTTACATACGCAAAACAGGACCACTAATTTGTTAAATCTTATTTATTTATTTAAAATATTTTGTGGATGCTTTTCAGAGTCAAAACCCTCCCAAGTCATTCTACAACAACAAAATCAGTGCAATAATAAGAGAGAAAAATAAAACACAAGGAAACAGTAAGTATGTAACAAAAATAGCAACAACAGCAATCACGTTAGGAAAATAATATGTCTTCAGGATGTAAGGAGGAGGTATTAGAAATGTTGGCCTGGAAGAAGTACAGAAAATCTTTAGAAACAAAAACCGACAGAGGAGGAATATTCCCTGGAAAGAGTCATGCCTGCTCGGCGACCGAGGAATACTAAGGGAGTGATCCCAAGCACAAGAGGACAGGAAAAAGCCCTATGATTCTCAGCTGGTTGGGCAATGCTGGGAACTGTAGGGCTTTTCTCTGTCTAAATATGCATGGGATTGCAACCTGATCTGGAGTGGGGCAGGTAGGGAGAATGGAAACAAAGGATGGGTCTTGGAATGCATGCATGGCGAGCTGGAACCCTACAGGACTGTGCAACTCAGCAACCCTTTATGGCGGGCCCCATTCATCTCTAGCCCTGTTCAGGTGTTTGATAGCAAGCCGATAAATATGCTCGGTCTGATGGGAAACCTCCACTGCGCCCAGGAGCATATACTGAAAGAGGCAAGGACTATAAGAGCAGAAGAAGAACCTGGCTGGATCAGCCCAAGGGTCCATCTAGTCCAGCTTTCTGTTCACACAGTGGCCACCCAGCTGGCCACAGGACCCCACAAGGAGGAAATGAACGCAATAGCACCATCCTGCTCAAGTTTCCCAGCAACTGGTCCACCTATCCTGTCTTTGATATGGGAAAGAGAGTGGGGCCTACTGTTGCTTAGTCCAGCAAATTATGTGTGAAGCAAGCACTTAGGGGTGAATTAAAATCCATGTCTAATAACAATGGAGTGTATAGAGAAGCACCTTCACAAAACGATTTCACTACATATTTCATTTAATCTTAGATACAAGGGCAAGAACAGAGGTTCCTCCAACCCACGGTGGCTTACTCTGATTCACTGTGTCCAGTTCTGGGCATCAAAGTTTAAGAAAGATGCAGGTAAATTAGAAAGGGTCCAGCAGAGGCCAACAAAAATGATCCAGGGTTTGGAAACACTGCCCTATGAGGAGAGACTGGGAAAACTGGACATGTTCAGCCTTGAGAAGAGAACATGATATCTATAAGTACCTCAAAGGCTGTCACAAAGAGGAAGGTCAAGATCTCTTCTCGATGACGCCAGAGTATAGGACATGGAATAATCACCTCAAGCTGCGACAGCCCAGATTCAGGCTGGACATCAGGAAAAGCTTCTTCACTGTCAGAGCAATATGACAGTGGAACCAGCTGCCTAGAGAGGTGGTGGGCATTCCCACACTAGAGACATTCAGAGAGAAACTGGGCAGCCCTCTGAGTGGGGTGGTGTGACTTGGTGTCCTGCAACAGCAGGGGGTTGGACCTGATGGCCTTCATGGCCCCTTCCAGCTCTACTATTCTATGATTCTTCCCAGCCCTGGCTCCTTGGGCTCCCTTCAACTACAGATGGACTGAACCTTCTGTTTACAAAGCATGCCCTCTTACTCTGACCTGTGGTCCTTCCTTGAATGAGGGTACATTATGCCCACACAGTTTGATTAACTGACGATAAAATCCCAAACCCAGAAGATGCACACTAAACCGGAAGATGGACAGTGGCATTTTCCAGTAAGTCATTAGAGAGTCAAGCTCTTTCTGTGGTGTGTACATATCCCTCTCCTGTCCTGACCCTACTACACCCTGGGAAGTGAAGCCTCTCTCAAGCCAACCTTCTGATAAACTCTTCCGTCACTTGCTGGAGACCCCTCAGTTCTCTTATTTTAAGCCACTAAACAGCCAACACATTCCCACTGTAGGTTCTGGGCCTCAGCCAATGCCAAAAATCCAACATTTATACCAATGTGCTTGTTCATTTATTGCATTTCTAGTATGCTAAATTGCAGGCGCTTGGAGTGAACCAAATATTCAAGTATTAAGAGTTAATGGCTGAATTAATACTGCTCTTGCAAATAAAAACAATCCCTTTAACTAGGTTGCCCTTATTCCCCTTATCTTGAAGCCAAAGTTCTGACACTCTGAACTCTGAGTTGCCCTTTCCTTCCTCTCTTAGCTTTAATCTTGCTGCCCTTTGTGAATGTGTAGCAACCAGGACTCAGGAACAACTCCAAATATAGTCTCCTTAATAATATATTTTTAAACAAATTCAAGGAGGATTGCACCTGTGTAAATTGTGCTCAGTAGCAATTCGAGGATGATCTTGGAAAAGAACAAAACTGGTATGCTAGAGACAATTGTTCTCTGCTGTGTGTCCAGAACTTCTAATCTTCACCATTCTGCTGCCTTCTAAACATGGAAATTCCATTTACTCTCATGACTGATCTTCTCCATGAATGTGTTGAACCCTTTTCTAAAGCTACCTGCTCTGATGCCCTCAGCACAGCTTGAGGCAATTAATGCTACGGGGTAAGTGATGAGCAATGCTTTTGATCAATGCTTTTACTGGTTTGTCCTGAGATGACTGGCAATGGATTCCCAATGAAAGAAGCAGAGGTGGGCAGAAGGTAGAATGGGAACCTTGCGGTAGATTACGAAGGCGTTCCAGCTCTCAACTGCTTAACAACAGTAATGCCAACATGACTCCTACGACTGCTGAAATGAAGGCAGCTGAGGTGGATTTTTGTGTGGAAGGACTGTGACAAAATCTGGGACAACATTCTTAGGATTCTTTGATCCTGACTCTTTCATGCCTGGCTTTGGTTGGTGGATGTCTGATTATTTTTAATTTATTTATTATATTTATGTCCCACCTTTTTTCCCTCCCAGGGTGGCATACATAATGCTTCTCCTCCTCTGAATCTTATCTTCACAAAAACAGTCCTGTGAGGTAGATTGGGCTAAAAGTCTGAGACTGGCCCAACGTCACCCAGTTGGCTCCATGGCTGAGCAGGGACTAGAACCCAGATCGCCTGAGTCCCAGTCCCACACTCTCAACCACTACATTCCCACGCTGGTTGTATTAGTCTAGATCCTCCAAGACTGAAAGCCCAGTCGAGCATTCTAGTTCTATGCATACGAGAGAAACATTCCTCTCTATGCAAATTTCTCCACACCATTCCTCATTTAATCAGCCACTCTTTGAGTGTCTCCATTTTGTGAAGAATGGCAACTCTCTCTCATTCTTGTAGGGGAAGACGGTCCTTGCCCTCAATAGCAACTAAGTTCTTGTTGATCCTTGGAAGATGCTTTGAGGAATGGTGGAAGGCACTACAGTCCCTATCTTACAAGTCCTGCTGCTATGGACAATTTCTCCACGTTTCTTTGGTTGCTGCTGTGATCAAGCACTGGAGCTGAATAGGCCTGATTCAGCCTTAAAGGTTTCCAAGTTGCGGACATTTTCCACTTTGATTTCAGAGGAAAAAAAATACTGTATTCAAATGCAGTTGAAATTGGTCCCCCATCCACCAAGAGTTATTTATTTTGTACCTCACAGTTACTGAACAATTGCCTTAAACTTGCCTGCTTATTTAGAAGATGAGACACAAGCTATTTCTGAGGCCCTTTTAAGAGGTCTCCAGCAAAGGGTAAAAACCCATTTGGAACTTCTAACTCTAGCATTAATGATCTTTTTGTGTCCTGCTGGGGCCCACCTATATAGGAAAAGCTTAGAAGTCTAATATTAATTTTTAAATGATTTTATTTTAAAATGAAGCATATTTAAGAGAGGAAGTTAAAAGGGCAAATGGAAACCCACAGAGATTGAACGAAAGGGAAATTCATACCGCAGCTTTCTGTGGAAAGTGAAGGGGAGGTTTTAAATCACAAAAAGCACCATTTTAAATGGAAGCATGCTGGGAAGTTCTACACAAGTGATAAATTAAGGAACAAGCTGCACTTTCCATAAGAAGGAAGGCATAGAACAATCCTTCACTTCTGACTCCTTCCCCACCCACTCCAATAAAGGGGGTGATTCATCTCTGAAAAGGTTGCAGCCCTCCTGTTGGATGTGCCGATAAGTTTAGGGTTTGGTAAACTGAATCAGTTCTTTAAAAGGTACCAATTAGAGTCCACTAAAATGAAATCTCTCCCCACTAATTCCTTTTCAGCGCCTTTCTAAGAGACTCTAAAAGCAAGCCTGCAAAGATCCATTAATGTATTTCCACAGAGATCCTGGCCTGCTCTGTACAGGCATTGCCATGTAGAATTCTAGATAGTGGAACAGCATGAATGATCTCATGCTGCAGATGAGGCCTGGGGTATGTGACCCGAGACAGTCAATCCCCAGGGACCTGGTCCAGGCAGGCACCTCACTTCAGATTCAAGGACGCTTGGGAAAAAACGAAACCAACTCCATCTGCACAGTTTATTGAATACCCTCCTGAAATATGGATGCCAAACACAAGCAAGCAGGAGGAAGCTTGCCTGCTCTCCTCTGTGGCTTACTGGTGCTCTGAATGGACCAGAGGATACTCCCTGGTCTTCCAAGTCACTTGGGTGAGCACTGTCTGCATCTCCCCAGCCAAGGGGCAAAAGGCAATGCTTCTTGCCATGGATTCAATGAATTTCTTCCCATTCTCTGTTTGAGAAGCTGTCAGGACACACAGGCTGTATCCTCCCCACCTCTCTGAGAGACGGGACAGACAAAGCTAGATCGGTCATCCAACCAGTTTCATTCTCGTGGAAAATGCCGAAAAATATAACGGAATGACTAGGAAAGGCAGCTTCAAAGCAACTGTCACCGGTGCTCTTCCTGACAACCTGAAGACCAAAAGGCTTTGGCACATTTCCAGAAAGCTATCCTGGGCTTTGGACACTGGGGAAGCTCATGAGCCTCCCCGCCATTCTTCTGGTGAAGCCCATCCATTATATCGAGTCCCAAAGGCATCCTTGTAGACTGGCTCTTCACACGGCCAGCACACGCCATGCTGTCCCTGGGCAGCCCAACTACCAGCACCTTCAGGCTTGCATGTTCACCCCTCTCTGCTGCAACCTGCATACTGCTGACACAGTCTGGCGCTGGTGTTCTCGGTTTGGGCAGTTGCTCCACCCTCTTGCCAGACCCCATGGGTGAGCAACGCTCTTCAGAGGCTGCGCCATGAGTTCCTGAAGATCCTCTACTGCCGAGGAGCCCAGGGTCGCTTCCCCATAGATGCTGTGGGGGCCTGCACTGGCATGGAGGGGGAAGGTCTCATGGGCTTTAGCCTTTGCCCCCTCAGGGTCTCTAAAGTCTCACTGGGCCTAGGCTCAGCATGGCAAGCTAGGTCACAGAGCACACAAAACAAGGCCTGGTGAACAATGGTTACTAAGGCCTGGAATGCCCTCCTGGAGTTGCATCTCTGCCCCTACTCAGTTCTTTAAGTGAGCCTTTAAAATCTCTCTTTTTAAGGCTGCTACTCACTAACATGTGAAGTTCAAATGCTAAAGTAATTCCTATATCAGCATTCTTCCTTGATATTGGCTACATATTGCTGTCTAGATTTTATTATTCTTGTATTGCATGTCACTTTCAGAGGATATGATCCTAGAAAGTCCATTGTATTCCCTGTAAAAATAATGAGCTAAACCCTTGATCTAAATATAAGAGCAAGTTTCTAGATCTTGCGAATTTAAGGACAGAGGCTTAGAAGCACTTGTATACTGTTCTTCCTCCTCCTCCCTTGCAAAGGTATTAAAATGAATAACTAGGCCCCCCTCCTGTAGATCATGGATTACAGTCCATTCAAAAATACGATTCTTTAAAAATCTCTCTCCTCTACCCCTATAGCTCAATGAAGTGTGAAATAACATTTGTATTACTGGAACTAGTGACATATTGTCTCAGTGAAAATGAAGACTGATGAAGATAAATGGCCAAAATCATACTTTTATTGCACTATCATATCAAATAGAAGTTGACTGAGCACTGCCCAGAAATTGTACCCATTTATATTAGTTGCACAGAATGACTGAACATGCTTGGATGCTAAAAATGCCCCAAACGTTGTCCTGGAAATTTTGCTTAAAAATCCTACAGACTAGACAAACCTCTCGATAGTTTATTCCAGTGGAAAAATTCTGTGTGATCACAAAATCTGGATTTATTTATTTGACTTGCCCACATCTCTCTTGACTGCAAAGTTCCTTTGACCTCAGATAAATGGCTTCCATCCAAAGTCAGCAGGAATGAACAGAGGGAGAAGGTGCCGTCCTTTGGGACTACTGCCTGTTAGAGGAAAAACCTCCACTAGGTATTTCAAATCTGCACTTAAGCAGGTGTATGGTATTGTTGCCAATTGCAGCACCCCAAAAGTAAATGGCCAGAGGAAGGCCTGAAAAGTAGTTGGCCAGAGGAAGGCCACACAGTAAAAACACCACAGTTATACTGTCCCAGAAGGCGGCTAAGAACAAAATGAACTTTGTGTAACCCACAGCTAACACACCAGCCTGACCGCGAATACAGTAATCAAAGGGACAGTGGAAACTGGTTACATCTGCTATGAACGTTGCAAATGTGCAGGGAGTAAGAAGATGGCAAGGCTGTGTGACTCTCGAGCAGCTCAGAAATAGACATGGGAAATGTCTGGTCCTTGACAGAAGAAAAGACTCTTTGACGCTAACAGCACTGGGGGTGTGGCTACATTGATGTATTGATGCACTAGAAGTGTATTAGGTGACCGAATTGGTTACTTAGGGTATAAAACGCATGCACCAGGGTGCAACATTCGAGACACTGCTTTGGGCTGAATGTCCCCTTTCATCTCCCTTTATTCTATAGTGCACTAGAATAAAGCTGGTTTTGGCTCTAAGTCTCATCTCAGGCTCCTTTTGACTCGGGTCTGGGGTCTGCCCGGGTTTGCCCTAGCTGTTGACTGGCTGAGTTCGGTAACAGTATGTTCAGTTTTCTGAATGGGAGAGTTTCCTGGGAAGCACTAATTTAAGCTCCACAGAAGAAAGATGATATAGAAATATTTGTTATTTATTAAATTGCTATCCTGCTCATTAGCCAAATAAATAAGCAATTAAAATCAGAATGCAGGCAATGAGCTGGATTTGTTGCAGTTCTTTGGGGAGCGTAAGCTTGGCAGGAAGCCTGAATTTATAGGTATATAATACATGAAATGGCCTCTGTGGCTTTCATAGAAGGCACAGAATCCTGGAGCATCTCTATTGGTTCTGAGACATTTAGAAAGATTGGTTCTAATGTGGGCCAGTGGAAGGTAGCTTGGAGCCATCATATTATTTCCCACAATGCCCTGATATAGCATAACTCCAGGGCATTGTGGGGAATTTCAACAGTACCTCCAAGCCACTAGACTAGTGGGGGCAGCACCATTTCTTAGCACTGTTGGGAACTTCATTTAAAATTACTTTTACATGGAATCTTTAAGGGTAATAAGTCTATGCCCAACGACATAACTTTGCCAAGAGCATCTTCAGATGTGGAGCCAGCTCTGGCAAAGATACAACTTCACTCTGGCATTAACTTGGAGGGGCAGCTAACCACCCTCTTCTAACTGTACACTCTTCTTGATGCTACATCACAATTAAATGTGACTTTGATCAGCCCGGTCTGGTGTTATCTAAGCAGAAAGTTGGGATCCGGGATCCAAACGAGTTTTGGACATTAGTGGATTACATTCATTTTCAGTTCCAAGGGAAGGTGAGAAGCAGAAATGTTGTAAAGAAACAGGGGGAAAAGGTCCAAGGGAGAGGAAAAAGAAGTAAAGGTATTTGACCTGGCGACTTGCTTTAGACCCTGATAGGCCAAGCCGAGTTCTCCATCTTCATTCAGATACCCCCAGTCCTCAGTCTTGCTAGAAAGAAAGGACAGAGGAAAGGGAAACACAAGTGGACAGAAAGGAAAGATAAAAGAAGAGTCAGCTACAAGTGGTAGGAAGAATAAGGAGGCCTCCAATGCATTCATGCACAGAAGTGAACATCAAAATCCACAGATGGTAAACCAGGAGAAAGAGGTCATATTAATACTTGCAAACACTCTTGATGTGCTTGCCACTGGCACATCCTCAGTTTTTGTACAGGAAGGTATAAAAGCAGGCCTCTCTCCCAGACTTTCCCAACCTGGTGACCTCCAGGTATGTGGAACTACAATTTCCAGAATCCCTTGCCTCAGCTATGTTGGCTGGATTTCATGGGAGATGCAATCCCACAACATCTGGAAAGTCATACATTCCCCATAGTTTTAGGGGAAATAGCCCCAACTACATCAAGACGGGAGTAGTATGAACCACCTTGTCCCAGCACTAGACCTTGGATGGTCTTTCTACACATGTTCTTGTGTCTTGTGTCTAAACTCCAACCGAGCTTTTTGCGCATGCGCACACACACTGCTCCAATAATCTATATTCATAAGAGAGACATTTGAAGACCCATCACTTGCTATCATGGCAAACCTGAGACTGATTTCGCTGGAAAAGCCAACAAACAATTCTTCATCAACTGTTGATTAGAGTGAGTGGTGAAAGAGCAACCACCAGCTTGCAGCTGGTTTTTCTTGTCCCATCTGTTACCTAGTCACTTCAGGAAAGGCATCCAACCCAACCGTGGTCGTTTGCCACAGCATCATCACTGATTAGCAATGGAGTACTGTCCACTGTACTGTAGGATGTCTTGCATTTTATTAACCACCCAACATCCAGATACTGAGAAAGAAGGAGAGGTCTCCAATGGAAGAGGAGAGTCTCAGTGCTGCATTAGTCCATGAGTGCCCCACTGCCCTGAAATACAGGAACCAATATTGCGAACACGGTCCCTATTTCTTGATATTGGCATCATCTTCATAGTCCCCTATACAGTGGTACCTCAGCTCACGAACGCCTCAGTTCATGACCAGATTGGATCACGAACAAAAATTTGACTCAGGTCGCGAACCCTGCATTGGGTGGTGACTGTGATCATGGCCATCTCCCCACCCCTGAGTGGGGAGATGGCCGCAATTGTGCTGGGGGTGGGGGGGGGGGATGGCCAAGATCACGCCCGTCTTTCCTGCACAAGCGCAACCACGATCTTGGCCATCTCTCCACCCAGCATGATCGCACCCATCTCTCCCCCTCCAGCACTCCTGCGTTTGTGCCCGTCTCTCCCCCACAGCGTGCCAGGATGACGGGTGCCTGCAGGGATGGCAGGCACAATTGCGGTTGTGCTGGGGGGCGGGGCAGGAGATGGCCGCAATCTTTGTTGTTCTTTGTCACTTTGCTTCACAGTTTTCTGATTAAAACAAAAAAGTTACAGAACAGATTAACTTTATTAACACTGAACCTTATGGGGAGATTTGACTTGGCTCACGACCAATTTGGGTCATGACCAGAGTCCTGGAATGGATCAAGTTCGTGAGCCAAGGTACCACTGTACTGTTACTTGACCATTCCTCTAAGAGGCGAACTAATCATGTTTGCCCCATACTTGAGTATGCCCCATGCTTTGGTCCTGATTTGGATCACGGCTCTTGCCATTTGAATTGGGAAGCAGTTTTTCCTAAAGGAAACTGCAGGCATGAGGAAGCCAATCCAGACTGGAAGTGCAACAGGAAGCAAAGTCTTAAGGCTTCTTTTCCTCGGAGTCCAAATCCAGACTGGAGAACCCATGCTAGCCGCTCCTGAAAGAAATGGCTTGCACTGCAAGATAAGCTGCATCAAGCACAGATTGTCCTGAAGTATTAATAGCATGGATCAAATCAAAAGCAGAGTTAAAAATATGCCTCTTGAAAGCAATGGTAGTCCCAAAAAGGAAAGTGTGCGTGTGTGTGTGTGTTTTCAGGGGGAAGGAGGCGTTAGCTACTGAAGAGCTGGGCGCTCACGACACCAGTTTTGTTACCCTGTTTCTGTGCCAGTTGCTGACGATCCATTTGGGCACTCAACCTACAAAGCAGCACAATCCTTTTGAAAACTGCAGGTGTTGGATGTGCTGATTTGGCACACCTGTCATTAACAAAAGCTTCTCCAAAAATTCCTGGATTATTCTGGCATGAGACACAGTCGAGAGGGTGCCATTAGCTATTAATAAAAACATCTTGTAAATGACAAATCTCAAACATTTTATAACTCCTTGGCCTGCATTTGCAAATAGAAAGCAATTAAAGCTTTCATCCACCAATGAAGGAAAATCTACTCGAGGCATCGATCTTACACTTAAACCTTTAAACTGATATTGCCCCGCCATTTACAAGCTGGCCTGACACAGAGATTCATTCATATGGATCTATGAAAAAGGAGGAAACACTCATATCTCATTAGACTGCAGGAGAAGCGAGACTAATGTGGGGTAATATGCAACATTCATTTAAGGGACCAACTTTAAGGTCAGCTCTGTGACAATCCGTAAGCTGCTCAGATGCATCAGGAACAAGGATCCAAGACAGAGTCCCAGACCACTGATTCCCAAATGGGCCTGTGTCCAACCAAGCTGGACCTCTGTCAAGGGGCCTAAATTTGACATGGGCCTAGAATATGCTCCCTGCTCTCAGGTATACCTTCCAAAAAGTGGCTTGCTAGCCTCTCACTAGAACTGGAAAGTGGCAAAGAAGCACTGGTAGGGTATTTTTTGGCACGGCTTTTTCTGCAAAGTAACTTGGGGTGGTTTTGACAGCAGCTGGTAATGTGAAATCCATCTTATGAGTGTATGTCACAATGAAGGTGTGGATTTTGGTATGTTGTGGATGGTTATAAGAAATGGGGGTGTTATGAGCTCCTTTTTGAGTTGGTCAACAGGAACAAATTCAGCCAAACCCAATGTAATTTAAGAATCATCATGTAGCTGGACCCACAGGGGAAGCGGGCAGTTTGAAGGGGCCAAGCGCACAGTTGGCTCCCAAGTAATCTCGCAATTGGTTATGTTCAAACACATCAGCTGTGTTGTTTCAGGTACTGGCAAGCCATGGTGGTTTCCACCATGGTATGGTCTATCATGATGTCTGAACACTGTTGTGGACTTACCATATTGTATGTTTGGTTGCCATGGAACCACAAAGAGAAACAACGGTCTGTTGTACAGTTTCCATGCTTCAATATGGCTGTTTGGTCATCTGAACCCTGTTTCCACACAGCTATCAAGGCGTCTGGTGGAAAGAGGGCAATTGCAGGAGCTTCTCTAGCCATCCAGGCTCTACAAACAGACCCACAAAGGAAGCACAAGTGTTGAAGGCAGGAGTGGTACACCCTGGAATTGACTTTCAGCGGCAAAGGCTGATGGAATACCTGCTGCCAGTGGAAGGACTGAAATAGGGAGCGGGGATGGGAACCATACACACCTAAAACCGTGCAGTCACCTGACAGCCTCATCTGGGTAGGAAACGGTGCAGCATAGCTTAGCGTGACGTGCGAACCCAGCCATGGTGTTGGAACAGAGCGCATGCCCAGCAGCAGGACGACCTTGCAAGCCAAGAGCACCCCACAAATGTCAGCTGTCCTGTTTCTGCACTGACCTCACAGTATTACCAAATAACTTAACAAAACATCACGTGGTTGAAAATATGTCCATCTCAATCTTGGGTAGAGGAGCTTGGCAGCACTGTAGCAAAAGCAAAAATCAGGGGACTTCCGGATTTGCAAAGGAGAAATAAGTATGTAGCAGCAATGGCCCTGGCCACATCTGTATTTTGTCCCCTATCTGCATAAATTTGCTATTACAGGCAACAATTGAAATAATTCCAAGGGACTCCTCTCTCCCGTTCGAACCAAAGCTCACTAGTAAGGCAAGCCCGTTGCACATTTCCAGGCTCAATCTGTGCATCTCCAGCAGTAGGATCAGGCAGGAATTCAACCTAAGAAACAGCTGAGCAGCTGACAATCTGCAGCCAACCAGCAGCCCCTCAGACGGCCACGGGTTTGCCTCCCCGTAAGACTTTCTTGCTTGCCCTTTGGGTAAGAGATTTCATAGCTACCGAGGACCTGAAAATGTGCAGACCCAGACAGTATCTTAGTTGAAAGCTGAAAAGGTGACAGGCATTCAGAAGGATTATTTACAGTGAAATAAATGAGTACCTGGTTTGCCAGCAGTAATCTTATTAATGTTCCATTTTATCTATTTAGTCTCCCACCCCCCACATTCCCCTCCCCCTTCATTCTCTTCATTTGGTGTTTTTTTCTGGATAAATGGGTGAGAGCAATATAAACCTTTTGCCTGCTTTCTCTTTTGTTATCCTAAGGGGAAGGCACAAATTCGGGGTATTAACACTCACTGTGTGAAACCGGTAATCAAAGAGGAATAATGGCTAAGAGTTAAGATACAAATTTAGCAGATAATGGGGGTGATGGGATGCCAAGAAAACAAGATGTGTATATATTAGTGCATTCCACCATTAGTACATTATAAAAATGTGGTTTAAAACAAAACCAAAACCTTTTGCAGCCTGAAGGGAAACAATCCAGCGGTGCGTGCGTTGAATATCTTTCCTCTGCATGGTACACAAATGATTTCTTTGATGTAATTAACTCTTATAATGTCTCTCCACTGCCACAGATGCCATATTTCATTACAATTTGACATCAGGGCTGTTCCAAAAATCCCATGACTTTGTGAACTGAACTATTGAGTCCAAATCCTGTGCTAAGGAATCCCAAACACCGACAGTGGATTAAATGCATCCTCTTATATATAAAGAAACACAACACCAGTGTGCTGCACTAGCGAGCTGTCGGGAGCTTGGTCCCCACTTCTTTTTTTCATTCAACAGACAGTTCTTTGGAAAAAGCTCTTCATTTCCAATGTACATCTAGCAAGCTATTACCAGAAGAGTCTCTGAGCATGCACAGAGCGGGCTGTCGAACCCAAACTAAAGGCTATTTGTGAGAACCCCTCTGGGTGTGCCCCACCAGAGAAAGGCCAGCCTCCTAGCACTACACAAGCCCTCTACTTGACTAGCCCTTCTCTCTTGAGGGGGGGTCAGGGAAGGGACCAGACTCCTTCTCGGCATTTCCAAACTTGTCAGTTCCCAGGAGCTACCTGGAAACAACAGTCTTGAGATAAACTCTTCTTCCTCGGCCATCTTTATGTCTGCAGACCTTATTTCCCCGGCCTCACTGTCCTCATCTGAAGAGTCGGTATCACCCTGGCCCCAAAACATGCCAAGAACAATGGCTCCTTTCATTCCCAACCATAACCAGTTGGATGTGGTCTGGGAGGCAACCTCACAGCCACGAAAGCACTGCCGGGAGACCCTGAAGAAGCCCTCACATGCCAGCTTCACCCTTCCCACAGGGCTAGGCCTATCTATTCCAAATGCTTGGCCACTGCTAGGACAGACTTTGCATAACCTCTTCCGTATTTCCAACCCATTTGCACTGGGGGAGAGACTGTCCTGACAGAGAGCAGAAATTCACAGGTTGTGTGTTCAAAAGATATAGAGCTAGGCAGCAGGACTGAAGAGTTTACTAACCAGTGGGAGAGGATCTACAGCAGCCTGTAGCAAACTTCCCCTTACTAGGGCCAAATCATATAACTAGTTGGACATGTGGGGTGCCTGCAAACGAAGCTTTTATCATGCCACTGTTCTGCATCTTTCATGGAATTCTGTGCAAGACTCCCACGTTCTCCCATCTTTCTTACCAAAGAAAATCAATTAAGGTTAAAGAGGGGGAGGGGGAGGGGGGAGGGGGGAGGGAGAATAGCTCCACAGTGACTTTTGACCAGTAGTGCGAGGAACGCTTTGTCTGAAAGCACTTGTAGAAGAAACACCTTGAGTAGTTCTGTTCCACACAATCTGATGCACAATGTACCTAATTTGCAACTCAGCTATGCCAATGCAAAGCTAGTGAATGGAGGCGAAAGGGTAATAAATTTATGTCTAGAGTTGCAAGCTGTGTGTGCACTGAAGCAATCACAGATCTGCTCCACAAAACACCTAATTCTGTACCACGCATGCGGTCTAATTCTCAAAGCACTGGGCAAGCGAATGGGCCCAAAATCTCAGAAGCTGGAGTTATTCACAATCTTTCAAGGAACCATATTGAAAAGTTGCTTTCCTCTCCTTTTTTAGAACATCCACCCAACACCATAGAAATGTTTCTGAGATATACTCCATGAGTCCTTGAGCTCCAGAAATCCTCCCACTTTTTTAAACGAAACCGAGATTCTCAAGATACCAACCTTTTAAAGAAATACCAGATTCTGTAGTAGTGTGATAAACCCACATGTAATACTGTGAGGCTTTTGTAAGAGGAAGTAATAGAAATATACGTACAATCACACCTACCATTAGTGATGTTCTCCTGAATTATTCAGAAATGAGCACAAAGCAGAAGCTCTGATTAAACACATCGGACCCTTCATAATGGATAAACAAAGACAGGCTTACCGGTTTGTCCGACACACTCCATCATATGCCTCTATTGCATCTTCTGGATCCACATGTTTGTCACTGTTTGGCCAGCTAGTTTGCATGTTGATACTGGACTCCTTAAAAAAAAGTCAACTGTGAAAAGTTTTGTTCTGCAAATTATCTCCATTTCCCCCAGCCCACTGCCAATATTCCAGCAATTCTAAATTGATCACTCATGCAATCCTTTTGATTTGTTAAGGGGTTTACGATCATGGTTGCACTAGCCATAAACCCATGGAAACAGGCAGAAAAGGAAAAGAAGGGCAGCAGCAAAATGCAGCATAAAGAAAAAGTGGAGATGCTGAGGGGAGCCACACAGTACAAACCAGCTTCGAGTTTTGTGCTGGCTGAACTCTCACAGCTCTCCCCAAAATCCTGGGAATTGCAGTTTAGTGAAAACACTAACAACTCCAAGTTCATTTCACCAAACTGCCACTTCCATGGAGAAGAGAAGAGAATATTAACTAGTTTAAAGTCTAGGAAAGGTAGTCTTGCTGTCAATACTGTCACATATGAATGGAAATTGGTATTCAAACCATATTAGGATCAAGAGGAGCCTAGTTTTGAAATTAAAACCGACATGGGGAAATTCATATTTCACAAAATTAACCAGACCAGGAGGAAAAGCAGATCAGCCCAACCTGCTTTTCTCAGTGACTTGTCTTTGAATCAGTTCAGTCAATGCAGACAGAGAGAACTGTAATTTGGCATAGTTTGTATTCTCTCTCTTTGCTTTCCTACTTCTGAAAAATATCTCAGAACGTTAAACCAGAGTTCATTGCAGAACTGCCTCCAGTAAGAGGCTCTCTAGCTGAATAAAGTAATCCATACCTAAGGCTACTTTATATTTTTACCTTGAGTGACAAGGTGTACTCCACCTTGTAACAGCAATGGGCCCATCTTCCATCAAGGTGGACTGGACAAATTGTCCAAGGTAATATGTAAACAAGGGGTGACTTTTACCTTGACAAACAGTGAACTGACTCTCTGTGAAAACCAGCTGGGGCTCAAACTGCAGCCTGCCCATCCTGCCTCCTGGGGTGAGGGTAAGCCCCTCAAGGCTGTATCATGGTGCTGCAGGATGGGCGGCGGGGGGGGGGAGATAGTACGGTACCATGTCTCCACCCCCAAGACAGCCTACTGAATCTGCCTCACCCCAGCGCAAACTTCCAGGTCAGGCCTCTTTCTCACCGAGACCACAGCAAGAATCTCACCTGGTCTCGAGATCGCCGACCGTCAGCAAGTCATCCATGCCTGCTAACTTCCTGACACACAACACAACACAACACCAATCTGCTGTGTCCCCAGGTGTGTTCCAGCCTCCTTTCGCTTAGACTGCGACCTGCCAAGGCTGCTGCCATGGCTGTACTCCCTGGATGCATCCTTCCATCAGCCGGGATCAGTTGACATGAAGCACAAGAAAGCACCCCCTCAATGGAGGAGGCTGCTGCTGTCGGTCCTGTCAAGCCATGGAGAGTCAGGGTAACCTGATGGAAATCCCAGAACTACAGTGCAGGAAAGTGTCCTGACCCAGGTAGTCTGCAGAACTGGGAAAGTTTAAGGGGACTCACTCTGGAGCTCCCACGGTTACGCCAAGACTTCATGAGCAGAGATGGCCATGTGCCCAGGGCCAGCCTGAAGACACAGGCCTTGGCTGGTAGCATGTCAGAGCCCCAAGGATCAGGACACCCAAAAGGGAGCGGCATCCAGGATGGCCACAAAAATGCTCACTTGCTGCGTGGAAATGCTTTCCTTTTCCAGCAGTCTCACGGACGGCTTTCTTGCTGCTCTGTACTTGACGCTTTAGCCACTGATGACCCTGCTGGCCATCTCAGCCCAGGACAGCTCATCTGCTGGTCAGTGCTCCACCTGGCTGCCAAGCTTCTGCTTCTTCTCATTAAATTTCACTGGCTTGGCTTCATGACCCAGAAGACCGAGCATCGGACAGCATTCCTGAGCTTCACCTGAAGAACCTCCAGATCTCAACTTTAGGCTAATTCTACAAGGGCCCCCAACCACTAATCCCCATAATGCTCTGCACACAGCACAATGCTAACGCATTTTCACAATTCAGAGAGAACTGAAACCTAGTAGATGCAACGCTTTCAAATATGCTGCTGCTACATCTGCCAAAGCTGAACTGACATTACATTTGCATGGCAATAAATCCTGTCGGACTGATATTTTGACCAAATGATCTAACAAATGAATAATTCACAAGAATTATTCTGCACACCAGCCAGGCTTTCCCAGTTGAAAGATTTAAGAACCAAAGGGGGTAAAACACTCTTTTTTATTGAGTGTTTTTTTAAACGAACTTGGATTCTAAAGGTTTTGGCCATTCTGATTTCGGACTTGCTGTAAATGAGCGTGCCAAAGCCATGGAGAAATAACAACAGTTGGCCACCATGGAAACAACACACACACACACACACACACACGAATGGAAGGATTTCTTTCTGATCCATTACCATATTTCTGCCTGTATCTTTTTGCTGGGCTGCCTTTATAATCTGTGTCCTTAGAATAAGCACCTCTTCCTTCCGGACTTCCAGCTCTTCGTTAGCCGACTTGAGCTGATTCAGGAGGAGACTGTAACTGTCACGGACATCACTGGAGCAGTTGTTCTGAGCCACCCGGTCCACTATTGCTTTCCTCAGCTCATTAAGGTCATTTTTCAGTTTCTTGTTCTCTGATTCTAACTCTTGCCTCTATTAAAAATGATATTTGAAAAGTGATCCCTGCTCAGTACATTTTAACAACCGTGGGATTTTTGCTTTCACTTTTAAATTTCTTTAGAGCAATTCCAGTTACAAAGCACACCCACAACACCATGGTCATCAACTAGAGTCCCAGAGCTGGATGGTGAAGCTGGATGCATTTCTAAACGAGCTCTGGAGCTAACTGCTAACTCTCAGATTGTTCCTTCCTGTAAAAAAGCGGGTCTCTGTCAGTTACTCTTAGCAGTGCCCTTGTGTTGAACAATACAGGAGATTGTGTTCAGATGAGGTATAAATATTGAATCCTGAATATAGCCAAGGGGAGGCCTTTGAACTTTGCTTTAGATCTTGCTCCTCATCTGTCTCCTGGAGCTGTGGCTGAGTACCCTTCCTGCACTTGCCTTGGGAGTAAAAAAGGGATGGATACGATTGTGGGATTCACTTTAATTCACTCTCCAGTATTCAGTATTTGAATTATTTGATTAATTATTGACTGAATAATCATCAATTACTTGACTTTACAAAGCCCTGTGTTTGTAGCCCAGGAGTTCATATCTCCCTCCTAGTTTTTCACTTCTAATATGATACTTTTTTCCCTTTTTAAATAGGATTATTTAATTGAAAATATTAAGAATACATTAAACATTGCACCAAAATAAAAAGGGAGAAGGTGGCCCCCACTGGTCTTCTTTCTATCCTACTTGAAGCAGTTTTTAAAAAGAAATCCAGAGGGAGGAAATGTTTGCTGGTCTTTGTAACTTGGACAAGTCAGGTTTAAGAATGCCAAAGACCAAAAGGAAAGCATATGATAAGCATTATTATTTTAATTTTAGGAATCTAACTCATAATTCAGATCTCTGGTTCAACTATCAGTAAGCGACTTGTGCTTTCAAGGGCAGGAAGCCCCCAGACTCATGCTTATTCAATGGGGGGGGCATCTTTGCCTCCCCCCCCACCCTACTAGACTGCATTCTCCACTAAATGGGCTTTTTTCCAATGGTCCGTTGGAGGGGGGATGGAAGAGGGCCAGAGAGCCCTGAAGACAGATCGCATCCTGGCCTCTTCTGGTTGTGAAGGGCAAGAGAGAGAGGGGGGACCTCCACCACTCCTGAGATCAGAGCCCTGTCTTGGGAAATGTGGACCCCCCCCCCCGCGCATTTCCTGTGACTCTCCATGCAGCTTCTACAGGACATAGGATTGCCCCCTGAATTCCATTATTTAACTCATGGCGCCTGCTGCATTTCATTGGGTTAGATGACTCTTAAAATATAATTAGGAGTTCACAGGCTATTCAATTAGCTATGAATAAGCTATGATGGCTTATTGCTGCCTTCCCCATCCCGTGATAGAATCCCGTGATAGAATGTGGGAAAGATGCTGGCTGTGAATGCTGATGGCTGCAACCCAACACACCTGGAAGGCAATAGAAACGCCCATGCTCAACCAGCCCCTGGTTGCAGGCAGGGCAAACTCCCGTGATGCTCTCAGCCCAGCAAGATTGATGTCTGGTGTCAAGGCAAGACGTGCAGCTGCCTGTCTCTCAATGTAGTGCATTTCCTAAATTGTTTTATACTAACGTTTCCATTTCATGTGCAGAATCCTCCCTGGATAGTGACATTAATAGAATTTGTGCTTTCCTTTGAAAGAAATGGTTGTGTTTTGGAGATGCTTAAAAAAACACAGGCTCATGATTAATGTGTGAGTTGTTTGGAACATGAAGATAAATCTTTAATGTGAGTCAACTGAAGAATTTCTCTTCCAGTGACCCAGAGGAGTAGGTAGAAGAAAGGAAGATTCTTAGCATAATTTGAGGATTGTTGAGCAGTTTCCTTCAGAAACAACAAATCTATTTGCTGGTTGGCGGGGGGGGGGGGGAATTAAATTCTCTTTTGGGGCAGTATTCACTGCCCCCACCTCTATTCCTTTCCCTGCACACAAAATATCTGTGGGAAAAGAATGCCTTGTGTACCAGTTTTGGTAAAAAGGTGAGGCGCAAATTATATAAATAAATGGAGCTGTTCTTGGCACAGGCCTAGCAGTACAAGCAGTAGATTTGGGGGAAAGAACTGTTGCACCAAAGGGAGAAAATCTGTTCAATAAGCAGATACAATACAGGCCCCATAAAAGCAGAGCTTCTTAATATCTGACTCTGACAGAAATGATGAAGTCCACTCATTTGAAAATACATCTCCATAACTGTAAGAACTTTTTAACTGAAAATTGAGCTTCCCTAGAGGCCAGGTTCTGTGAAAGATGCTAGACATGACGTGGAATTCTGCAAGCTGCAGAAGACAAGGCTCATCAGTGAAACTTGCTGCAGCGATACTCATGGATTGATTCAAGGCATTCAGTGTACTCTGCAGCCGGAATGACTCACGAAGCTGCTGACAGGTCACTAATCAAAAAAGACTATGCCTCCTGTTGGCCGACAACCTACAGTATATGTCATGAAAGGAAAAGGGGTAGTAAGGGAAAAGGAAAACTCAGGCCCCATCTCTTAAGCGCCAGCATTCTTCTAGGGACCAGCTGGGATGGAAACTGTTCTGGGGACAAACAGCCAAAAGAAGCACGGCTCTTCACAGAGCCAAAATTGTTTTAATTTATCGTGTCTATTGTTTTAATTTATCGTGTCTTTTATTCGATGTTGTGAGCCGCCCCGAGGCTTCGGCAAGGGGCGGCATAGAAATGTTTTAATAAATAAATAAATAAATAAATAAATAAATAAATAAATAAATAAATAAATAAAATAAAATAAAATAAAATAAAACATTTTCCCCTCTCCCTAATAGAGAGTTAAATGACTCAATGGTGCAATGCACGCTTTACATGTAGACGCTCCCAAGTTTAATCTTTAGGAAGGGCAGGGAAAATATCTGCCTGAATTATGGGACCACTTCGTATCAACAGAAGTGAGTTTTGTAAAATGCTACCAAGAAGATACAGTGCAGAGTAAAACCAATAGCATGAAAACAGAGGAAGATACTGACAGATCAGTTCATTAAAACAGGCCTCTCTAAATGGAAGTTCTTCATCTTGTAAATTTCGGGCATGGCGGCAATTGTCCTCCCTGGCCTTTCTCCGTGAGGTGCTCTGTGGAGCAGGTGTGACAACTGCTGAGAAAGCTCTCAGTCTGTATTACTTCAGAAAATGGGGTCACAAGTAACAGGGCCCTGCAAGGCATGGGACAAAGCATACAGGCACATCTGGTTCTTCCCAGGGTTCCAGGTTCTGGAACTCTGCCGAGTGACTCTATTTCCAATCTTTCTGCCTTTTCACTTACCCTCTCCCTCTGGGTCCAATCTGTACCATCACTCAGAGGATGAGTGGAATGTAAGTGAAGGAGGCTATCAGTTCCTTCCTCTTGTCAGTGCTTGCACGCCCAAAGACAGGTGAATAGGCAAAGAGCAGCATTAGCTGCCGCACCTTAAGGATCCTGGCACTGACACTGGGCTCCCTGCAAGGTGGTGGGCCTCGGCATGTGCCCAGTTGGGCCGACCCTCTATGCCAGCGTGGGTCCTTCCAATCTCCAGGACTCGGTTCATTCAGATTACAGGTGACTGTGGCCTGGAGCCTGGAAAATTCACTGGTAGGCACTGCAGCTGCTGAAGAGTAGGGTCTTTTCATCTTTTTATCTCCTGTATGTCTCAACCAGGTTTAAGAAATAAAGACAGCTCTTTGCAGACCCCACAATGCTCACCTGAGTCCAAGGACAATGATTATAACTGATAAGGTGCAAAGCAAGAAGAGAGCGAAGTCAGGTTGCAGAATCAAGCTGAGAACTAAAAGCCTTGTTTTGTCGTAACCAAATTAAGCTCAGAAAGCTGCACAGTTTATGAGGAGGAAAACAGTGGGGTTGCAAAGAGTTAGGAGACACTTTGGTATTGCCCCTGCCATGCTGATTTATAGAGATGGATATCCAGAAAGCTCTTCCAGGTTATTAACAACCTGGCACTTGCAGTGGGAAACAGATATATCCCCAGCCTGGAAATTCCTTTTACCTTCAGACTGTTGTATGCCAGATCCATATCACGGTCCAAATCCATTTCGTTCTTCATTTCAATTACCTGGATGGATTAAGAAGACAGAAAGAGAGAGATCTGGTTTGACAACAGGCTATAAAGGTTGGGTTTCTGACTGCAGCGCTGGGTCACCTTACAAAATCTGCTGTTTGCTAGCGTAGCATTTTGGCTGTGAAAGAAAGGGCTGGTAAACTGAAGCACGTGTGGGGAACACAGAACGGATGGAGAGGAGGATAAGCAACAGAATGGTACAGCAGGGACACTCGCAGCAGGAATTCCTTTCCTTTTCTTTCCCAGCATTCGTAGGATTTTTCTGTATCCTATTTGATGTTCTCGTGTGCATGGATAGCAGAGGATGCAAGCAGTGATTTTCTACAAGATGCCCACTGATCCCAGAGCCTCCTGAAGTCTCCTCTCACCTTGGCTGATGCCTTGCCATGGGGTCAAGCAAGGGGGGCTGTTCTGCTTCCGAGAATTCCTCATCCCCCTCATCCCCTCCCACTGTCTGTACATCTTGGGCATTCCCAGGAACTGGCCTTGAGATAATTACCTCCTGCTCCTCTTGTTGCTTCCCAAAACCTTGTCCCAATCCCTGCTCTCCCATCTCACTGGAACAGTCCTCACTTTCCTATTCTGAGTCAGTATCTCCAGTGCAGCCAGTAGTCCATGGGGACACTTGCCCAAGCCTGCCCCTTTTAACAGTCTCAATTTCAGCTTTGATTTGGACTGTTTCTACTGTTGCTTTTTAAATCACTCATTTATTTTTATGCATCTCTCTTGTTTGTTCACATTTCCACATTTTACAGTATGTTTACTAATTTCCATTTTAAGTTGCCTTGAGAATGTTGTATTTTTGAGACAGGTCAAAAATACTATAAAGGAGGATTGATTTTGGAAAGCCAGTATGAACCTCTTATTCTTGAACTATTTGCCCAGTGCAGTAACCCCTCTCTATGCCTTTTCCAAGTACCTCTGAGCACTGCTATAGACAAACCTGACACCCAGCAACTTGGGATAATCACACACACATACGATGAGAATTATGTGACTGCAGCTTCAGTTTAGGGCTGGTGCCAAACTAGTTGTCATGTTCAGTGCATAATAACACAAGAAAAGCCCTGCTAAATCAGCCCAGAGGTCTGTCTAGTCCATCTAGTGGGTGTCAGACGGAGGTGGGTAGAGACCTGTTTTGTCCTGCAAAGGGCAGGACGCGTTCCAATGGAGCAAAGCTCAGGGAACCAAGGTTCAATTTGGATGCCAGGAAGTATGCCCTGCCAGTTAGGACCCCCAGGTATTTTTGAATTGGGGTTTTGTGAAAAGACCACCTCTCGCCATCAGGTAGAATTGCTAAGCATTGGTTTCCACATTTCCCACATTATTGCCTCGCAGGAAAATATGCACATTTCCTTTAATTAAGAAGAGGCCTTTTGGAAACAGAAGGCAAACTATCAGACTAAGCCAGGGCATCCAAGCCCGTATTGCCTTTTCACTACCTGGCCTCAAACTAGCAAGACTCACTTCAGGACAAAAATTTCCCACAGGCCTGGGAAACAGAATCCATTGGATGCATGCAGCTCAGAAACAGACTCACTGTCAGGCCAATTAAACCAACAGGGAGAGACATCATTCCAACACTGATTGCGCATTCCAGTGATTGCAAGCTCTGTCCTCAGGCGGAGGAAGACAGCAACAGAATAAAGTATCATAATTGTGTGTGTATTCCTAACGAAGCGTGGCACTGGCAGGGTATGTAAGTCTCAGGATGAAAAAGTCTTTGTCCCATACAAAGATAGTAATGAGATGATCTGCAAAGTATTTGCAAACAAGAGGAAAATTTTAATGGGACATAGTGCGGCACGGAAAGCAACGCTCATGCCTACTTCAGTGGTACCCTTAGAGATCATTTAGAGTTTCTGATCCATCTTGCAATGCAGTTCCTGGTACTGAACCATTTCATACTATGGGTAGCTTCATCCTTTTCCCCCCTTCAATATCCCCAGAGCTGGCCCAGGGCAGACAAGATGGAATGCCCCACACACTTTCCACATTCAGGGGCGAGCTGAACTAATAACTGAATCTTTCCATCAACCAATACTCCACGGCATCTAAATGCATCAAGTTCTCTGATGGGGTGCAGAGCAATCTGCATCTGGTACACAGAACGCTTTCCACTTCTTTCCCAATAGCCTCTCTTGGCACTCACCAGCTGAATTTCCAGAGGACTTTATGCTCAGTGGCCTCTTTATATTGCCTATTAATAGTCATTCTTGTTCTCATGTCCACATATGAGATATCCCTTTCCCCAGTGCTAGAAGCAGACAAGACTAGAATAGGAGCCGGGACTGGAGGAAACCTGCCACAGGGTAAGGACGTAGGCAAGTTTCAGTAGCTGTTCCATCCACATAAGGGTATTAAGCACACAGCAGGGAGGTCATTGATGAAACATTAGTCCCTTTCCTAATGTATGCTTTAATGCTTTCCACAGGACTGAAACTGATGCTGACACGCCGTCTTCTACCTGAGATGCTTTGCTGTCATTCTCCTTCTTCTCCAGCTGGCTTTGCAGTTTCTTTCTCTCTTGTTCAAGTTCCCGCACTCTCTTCTGAAGCTTGAGGAACAGGGTCATGTCCTGAGCTGCCTTCTCCAAGCCAACCTCCTGTGGTGGAAGAGCATCAAGAAATAAAAGAAACTGCAGTGACCTAGAAAATATGAGTGATCCTCAGAGCATGCACAAAGAGCTCACCACTGAAAGCTGCTCAGCGACACTTACAAACTACAAACAGAAATCGCTTGGCATGTTTGAAAGTGGGTGCTCCAGATGGCTGGTTCAACATGCTTTCGCTAAGAAAAGCAAGAAAGCATTTCCCACCCCTAAGGAGGACACGGACTTGCAGAATGATCAAGTTGGAAGGGGCCACATTCAGTGCAGGCTCCAAACTGACAGCCGGCTGCCCAACTGCCTCTTACATGCTTGGGAGAGCCCACGACCTCCTTGGGGAACTGGTTCCTTTGCCATACTGCTCTAACAGTGATTTGTCGTTATTTGTTTTTCGGCACCAGGCAAAGACCTTTTTATTTAAATGTTATTTTAATTGTTAATATTATTTATTCATTTTATTCTTTGGCCAGGTCGACTTAATTTATATTGTTAATTTATATTGTTTTATTGAATACTATTTATTTATGGTTTGTGAGCCGCCCCGAGGCTTCAGCGAATGGGGCGGCATAGAAGTGCCCTAAATAACTAACTAACTAACTAACTGCCGGGAAGCTTTCCTGACGTCCAGCTGGAATCTGGCTTCCTGTAACTTGAGCCTGTTATTCTGCACCCTGCTTGGATTGCACAGGAACAAATTTCCCAGCATCACCAGTACTGCGTCCCACAATGCCTCTGATCACACCTACACAGAGGGTGGTTGTGAGGAATCAGTGCACTCAAACCAAGACGAAAAAGCACGGTGCACAGAAGTTTGGACAGTGCAAGAGGTCTGAACACTTGGTACTTGGAGTAGCAGATTCCACCCAAAGTTACTCAACATTAACAGTCGCTTTTTTGTTTTTGCTTTTGTTTTTATATAATTTTACTGTATTTGTTACAGTTTTATTGTTTTAATTCTACATTGTAAGCCGTCCCAAGATGCCGAGGCATGTGGGGATGGCATATAAAAGTTTTAAATAAAGAAATAAACAAACAAACATTTCACAACTCCATTTTCATCTTGCTAGGTAAGCAGCAACTGCTGATACTCCATTTAACTCAATGGGAAATGGCTGCACTGAGAACTGAAGTATTTAAAGGCCACCAAAAAATCTGTAACAGAGGACTGAAAGTCAAAATAATACTTTTGCTTCCACTTATTCTTGCTTTTTGCTCTTAATAACCCTCAAAGTCCTCTGACGATGTCCTTCAGTCATGACGAAGCTACAAAAGTAGTTACCGCTGACATACAAAGCCCTGGACCGTTTAAAGCCTGGATAACTGATGGAGCATCTGTTCCCATACACACCTGTGCAGACCCTCGCATCATCATTAGAGGCCCTTCTCCTGGAACCTCCTGTAGAGGATATAAGGAAGGTGACTGCGAGGAGCAGGGCCTGTTCAGCTGTGGACGCTGTTCGTGGATCCAGCTTTCCAGAGAGGTGTGCCTGGAGCCAACACACGACACCTTTTGCTGCCAGGCTAAAACCTTTTGATGTTCTCAGTAGTTTAAAATTTTATATTATATTTTATTTTTGTGGCACTGTGGATTAATTATTTTAATTATCCTTTATTTTTGCTATTGGTTTTGTATTCTGTTCATTGCTATTATTGGTTATGTATTTTGTTTTTATTGATCATGATTGTAAATTCTTCTTGGTTTTATCTTATTGAGGTTTGGGTTTTGTTTTACATTTTAAATGTGTGTAAACCATCCAACTGGCTACAGGTATAGAAATATTTAGAATAAATAAACGAGAGCTCCTTTTACAGTGGGCACATTGGGTTCATTCATTTCATCTTGTTTAAGAGGCTGAGCATGTTGGCCTTACACTCACAACTTAAAACTAGCAAATTCTTAAAATACTCTAAAATTTCTTCTGAAGAGCACCAAGAAGAGTTTGGCATTTTCTTTGCATTCTTAATCAACCTGCTACAAGGATAAATACATTAATGTCTTCTGCTGTAACGTGCTTTAAAAGGCTGCTTATGCTAAAGGTACACCAAGGCTCGGAAACTCTCTAAACACAATTGAAGATTAATCCTCAGGAGTACTGAAAAGGTACTTGTAACCCTTTGGAAAGGAAAGTATGTTGCATAAATGTATTATTAACCACTGGCTTCATTTTAACCGTTATTTCTTAATGCTCTGTGTTTACAGCTCTAAGTGTTTAATAAAAGCATGCCTTTAAAAATTAATCCTCTTTGATTAAGTAATTTAATGACTGAAACAGCACGACTTTTCAACGCAGGGCTGAAATTCTCACATCTGCTGCTCCTGGCATTATTAGCACTGGCTTTCTAGCAGCACAGGAAAACGCAACAGTCACATTTCTGAATCGCATTTCCACTCCATCGACTTCATTTAGACAACTCAGAGAGCAGACCATGGTATAAATGGCTGACAATACGACATGCCACCCAGGCCTTTCCCAAGCCCCGCTGGAATTGCTTTTCCATACCTCCACTTGCTGGACCGCATCCTCTGTGTCCCCAATCTCAGATGTAGAAATGGATGGGTAATTCGAGTCCGATTCCAGGCTGCTTTGGTTAGAGGGGTTTCTTCTATGTCCTGGAGTCTGCCATCCAGAGAGAGAAACTGCATTCAGGCATCTCAGTACCAAGAGAGCGCAAGGAAATGGTCGTGCAGTGTGGACTGGCTTTTACAAATTATTTCTGAGGGCCCGGGAAAAACAAGTGTTTTGTTTGAGTGCGTCACTTATGTTCCAGATTTTGTGTTTTAATCATTCTCTGCATATCCTGTTGAGGGTATAACAGTCAGTGCTCATATAGCCCAAAACAGCACACAAAAGAGAAGTATCAGCAGCTCAGGTTTTCTTTTGATTTTACCAAAAATCATTTAAAACAGAACTGAAGCGGGTGGAGATCCTGCAAGATCAGTTAAAAGAGGACTGAGCAGGACTGAGACAAAGCCATGGGAGAAGCCAGGAGAGAACACATTTTCTCAACATTTATAGCTTTTAGTGCCCTCACAGCAGCATGGAGAACCCAGTCTTGCAAGCAAAATATGTTGGGTGCCTCCTGCAGTTTCCTAGATGGCCCTGTCCCCTTTCCTGGGCATGCCCCCTTCCCAAACCCCTCACCTCCTTCCCCTTGTCTGCCAAAGTTCAATTTAGATGCCAGGAAGCACTTCCTGACAGTCAGGACCCCGAGGGTGTGGAATGGGCTTCCACGGGAGGTGGTTGAGGCCCCATCGGTTCAAAGACAGGCTGGACGTGCACATGGTGGGCATGTCATGAGCGGAGCCGGCTGGAGCCAGGGATCAGACTAAATGGCCCGGGAGGCCCCTTCTGACTCGCTCTGTTTCTGTGTTTCTATGCCAGGCAGTTGGTGGTTGGCCAGCTTTTGCATGTTCACCACCACCACTCTGCTCTAGAAGGACGAAATGACACTCCCAAGGCTCAGTTGCTGGCAGTAAGCGCTTTAAGGTAACATAGGCTGGCATGGTGGCATCTTTGCTCTGCCTCCTTTGCTTTTGAGTGCACCCTGGTTTCCGTTTGGCCCTGCTGGCCACTGCAGCGTGGCTCTCATGCAGCTTCTGGATATGCGCTCTCCACAAAGGAGGTCAACCTGAACGAGTTCACAGCCTTGCCTGACAGCAACCATGTGCTCAGATGAGTCTTTGTTTGCTTTCGCAGATGCAGCGAGGAAGACAGAGAGGGAGCGACTGCCTTCGCTCACTGCGTATGTGTGGGGCTGAAGGAAGGTCTGCACTAGGACCTTCCCACCCCATAGTATTTAATGTACATATAACAGGTACAGGATAATGCTTGATGTTAAATATTTGCATTGGTCCCATAGGGGGAAAAAGTAACTATTTGCAGTCAGAGAGCTTCTTAAAACAGACTGAATGCTATCTACGGATATCTCAGCACAGGATCAAGGAACAAAAGATCCTCCCATTACCTTTATGATGGCCATCTCATCCTTCAAGTTGTCGTAGCTCTGCTCCAGCCTCGAATACTCCTTCACAAGGTTCTGATAACGAGCTCTTTCTTCATCAAGCTCCTTCTTCATCAGGAGGTTTTCCTGAATAGCATTTCGTGCAAATTCATCTTGTGGGGAAAGACAACCCAGCAGCAGCGACAAAGGGGGAAAATCGACATGTTAAATTCTTGGATCTTCATTCAAGTGCACTGAGCTGATGCTGCCCTTGAATGTGGAAAGCACGTGTGTGCTGGGAACAGTGATTATTATTATTATTATTATTATTATTATTATTATTATTATTATAACATTTCTATGCCGCCCCTTGCCGAAACCTCGGGGCGGCTTACAACACGATAAAATACAATGAAATACAATAGCACATAATAATATGTGATGGGGAGGCCAGGTTCACAGAGTGGGTGAAAACCACAGGGCTAGAGCCCTGGAATCACTCGGTTGCTCTTTCGCACATTTGCCTATGTTTGCTGGCTTTAGAAATAAATTAGCTGCATACCGTGCACATACCTGTTCTCTCAAGAACAGGGCTGTGACCCTGAGTCAACTGAATGCTTAGAATAACAGTCTAGAATATTTTAAATAAACTAAAAGGCATTTACCAAATAATCAGACAACCGAGGTATTCACTAAGTGCTTATATTCATTACTACTACTATATTATTCATTATACCACTGTAAGTTTTGCAGCTGCTCTCTCTCTTTCCTTACAAAAACAGTGGGCTATTGATATGCGGTCAATAAAATCTACAAAAGCTAGGAATTTGGAAGTTCATTTCTCTCAACCTTTCTAGCCATGAGCTTAAACAAGTTCAGGAATTTGTTGATATTTATTGATTCTATAGTCTTAAAAAAAACAAAATAAATAAGATAGTTCCATGCTCAACGTTTGTGGTTTTGCCATTTGTCAATGTTTAGCTCCGCTTTAAAAATGATTCGCCTGCTGAGTCCAGTTAAGCAGATCCTTGGTTGTTTTGTAAACAGTGCTACTTGATGATCTCTGTTCTTCAACTGCTTTTCCGTTTTTAGTTTCCCCTTGTTGTTGCTTTGATTAAATCCAGAAATGTAATGGAAGGTGGGGGATGGCTGAATCGTTTAGTTGGTTTATTCCATGCTTAATTCCTGTTTTCCCCTAGTGATTAAATTAGTTCTTACCATTCCATGTCTGGGAAAGACATTTCAAGAAATGGGAAGGGAAGGAACAGGATGGGGTGGGAAACTACTTGAAGAGTAGCATGCTTTTGTTTATATCTCCCAGCTCAGAGTTTAGAAGGACTCAGAATAACATAAAGAGCAAAACCACTGTGAATCTTTTAGTTAATTGTCAGTGTTAACCAAGCCAAACAATGTTCCTTCTTACCTTCAGACTGATGCAAGATTCTGTTGTTCAGCTCCTCTTTTTCCTTTTTCAGAAGTGCGTTCTCTTCTTCCAAGTCAGATATCCGCTAAGGCAAAAACAAAAGAGCAGTATTAGCATCCACAAGGCGGGGCCAACCTAAGGTCAGCCAACTTAATACTGTGATTGAGTTTCACCTGGCTGGCTGGCTTTTATAGCTAAACCGGTTTTGGGCCTTCCTTCAATCACCAGAATAAAAACATGCAACAACGAAACTCTCACCTTGCTAGTCCTACAGAGCTGCACGGAATCCTAAGTTGCAGAGAATGTGTCTTGCAAAATTTTCAACATTAACGAACATATATAACTTTTGTTTGTCTCAGGATGAAAAAAATCAAAGTAAAACTCAGCAACTGCAATGCTTCTGGAGTTTCAAAGCCAAAACTGGCAAAATGAGATGTGCTGGTATACTAAAGCAAGGTTGTACAATTGACACGGTGCAGCCTCACGTTTCAGAATTGCTTTGCACAAGCTATTTTAGAACACCAAATCTTGCTCTCCTGCACTGTGCGTGGATGAGTCTATAGGCCAGTGCCCCAAATTTCACTGAGGTGCTGCTGTCAGTCTGCATAATTGCATTTCTGAGAAGAGCAACTAAAATGTGCAGAATTGCTACAGTGAGAGTACATGGAGTCTGAGCTGGGGGGAAAGAAAGCTTTCTATGTTAGTATAATAAAGATTTTTTTTGCTGTCCTAGTAAGATGAACAATATATGCCCCCTAAGCTTCATATACTATACAGCAGTCTATTCTTTATCTATGTTCATGCATCATTCTTCAGTTTTCTTGACAGCAAGAACCTGCAGAGGTATTTTCTCAATAATTGTGCATGGCATTAAAAAACCCCCAAATAGAAAGCAAAGGTCTTTGGGGAGCACAAAGGCAAGTTTGAACTGCTGTGTAAGGACTTTCTCATGTGCCCAAAAACTGGGGAGGAGGGGAAGAAAAAACCCCCCAAAGCAACAAAATTAGCAACTCCTGAAAGATCTTGGTGCGTTATTTTCCCCTCAGGTTTGGACACAGCTGTTGGGTTTGTTGTGTTCATTTTGTTGCAAACTGAGCAGTTGTCTAAAAAATTAACGCAAGAAATTGCACGTAACATGCAACGACAAGCTGACTTTGATCAAAATATAAGCACAACCGGACAGGGGAAGGATTTCAATGCAGGCCGTTTTCAATGGTACATAGAGTAATTTTCATGATAACATGAAGTGTTATCATATAAAACTGTTCTGCGACCCAAGATGAGGCATGTCTCTACCCAAAAGGACAAAGAATGATTGTTTTTCACCAAAAGTTTCTAACAAAGTTTTCTCAGGCATGTTCTTCCTGGCAATGCTGCTTTGAAGTAAGTTGTTCCTCTGTTTTAACGAGAGGACATTAGAAATACTTTATCTTCCACTTTTACCATCTCATTCTGCTGCACCTGAGGCACATGTCTAACTGCATTCACAAACTGTACTGAGCAAAGAATCCAACTTCCTAAGAATCCCAGCTTTTGTTTTCAGAGTACAAGCAAGTTTCTAGCCCCTATGAAGAAAAGGAGCTGGGGAGGGGAGGTGGCTAAATGATATTTAACAGTCAGGAGTGGGAATATCTTATTTTTTGCCCCTTTCACACAACTAGCAAAATACTTTTTAAAATGTCTGAATCAGCACAGTTTATCGTTGTTGTTGAGTTCACATTTCCTTGGTGAAGATTTCCCTCTTCTTTTCTCTAAAGCTCAAATGCATAAGGTTTCTCTTGGCAAATGTTTTAAAAAGAAGTAAATAAGCCCTTTCCAATGCCTGATTTGATAATCCTACACTGCAGAGAAGTGTTTTTAGAACTATCCATTGGTTATGCAGCCATTCAGGGTGGAATGACAGAAACTGGTATAGGAATTCAATTGTTACAGATTTGGAGACTGCCCGATTTAAGTTATATACGTATATAATGCATACCATGAAGGATTATTAATGCCACTCTTGCAAAACAATCAGGCTTAGGGTGCAGTCTTTATTTATTTATTTAATTTTTCATTTATATCCTGCCTTTTTCCTACAAGGGCTCAAGGCAGCTGACATCATTCTCCTCCTTCATCTTATCCCCACAACAACAACCCTGTGAGGTAGGTTGGGCTGAGTCTGTGACTGGCCCAAACTCACCCAGTTGGCTCCATGGCTGAGTGGGGACTCGAACCTGGATCGCCGGAGTCCCAGTCCCAGCTCTTAACCACTACGCCACACTGCCTCTCAGTCCTATGCCTTATGAAGCCTGGCTGGTTGGGAAATGCTATCGCAAGACCTTTTGAATCCAAATCTGTTCAGGATGGACAGTTTTGAGAATTAATATATTTTGGGGACTGAAAAGCTTGCTATTACACTCTCTAGGAGCCACAGTGCTCACTCAGCTAGCAGCATAGCTAGTTTTGTTTACTCTGGAGTAAGCACATGTATCTCTGACCATGCAAGACTAGGAAGGAAGGATTTAAAATTAAAAAAAAACAAAACAAAACTTGCCCGGGTGGGATTTTAGGGGCAAAATCATTGGGGACAGGAAAGAGTTATTTCTCTCCTTCCAGCCTGCAGTGGTGCCAGTATGAACTGGGGCAAAATATGCTTACACTAGAGTAAATAAAACACTAACCAGTGTACAGCTGGTGTAGTGTGGTGATGAGAGTGTTGGACTGGGAACCTGGGAGATCCAGACTCTAGTCTCACTTGGGCTATGAGGTTAAGTGGTGACTTTGGGCCTGCCACCCACTCTCAGCCTGAGCTACCTCACAGGGTTGTTGTTGTGAGGATAACATGGGGCTGCATAGGCTGCCTTGGGTTCTTCGCAAGAGGAAGAAAGGCAGGGTATAACTGCAATGTAATAATAAGAATAGTAATAATAATAATAATTGTAGCCCCCAGCCACATACTATGTGATAAGCACAATGCGTATTCTGGTTTCAGGTCATTGGTTCTCAAGTACTTTTGGGATAAAGTTCTCCTGTCAGAATCTCTGCAGCTCAGCTCAGAATGGCCAGCTGGTAGGGTCCCTTGGTCAGTAACTGCAACCCAAATATTTAGAAAGGTATTTTGGAGGCACAGAACAATACATGCAGAGTCAGCAATCCGTTTTGGGGCAGTAAACCCCAAAGCCAGCCTGATTTGTGTGAACCTCGCCCTGTAGAGTTATGTGCTCCACTGGGTGGAAGAAAAAGCCTTGGCGGCATGAATAAGCCTTGAGAGAACCTGTGTCGCCTGGGAGGTGTCTTGGGAAGAGGCCTTGTAGATGCATGCTGCAAAGATGTCATAACAAGAAATGCAAAACTGGAGACAAGCTGACCCACAAGTGGTTACCTTCTGGGGGACTCCCAACGGCAGAGCCGGCTCTAGCAAAAAAAAAAAAAAAAAAGATACTTTTGATCCTGAGTGTCTCTCCAAAGAATTACCTTTTGTAGCACATCTTTCTCCTTGGTGTAGGTATCTTCTACTATCTTTCTCTCCCCATGAGCTTTCTCCAGAGCCAAGCGGAGGGAGTCCATCTCTTCTTGCAAGCTGGTAAGCTGGTTGTTGTTGCCCTTCTTCAGCTGATACTGCTCAAGTTCTTTCTTCAGTTTCTGCACCTCAGTGGAGTGAGCAGAACTGGCTACAGACAGCTGTTCGCTCAAGAGTCTGTATTCTTTGTTCTGAAAGGAGGAGAAATAAGGAAGATCTGAATACTGAACCAGAGCTTCATGGGAGAAGCACCCACCAGAAAAAACCCCCAAACTTTACAGTTTTAAAAATAGAGGCTTCATAGTATTTGTTGAGAGGATTTTTGGTGTGATGCACTGTTCTTTCAAGCACCAAAATGCAGAGAAATTCAAACATTGTTAATAATTTCCATGGGGTATTCATGCTAGCCTTTGCAGGAAAAAAACCAATTAAATCTTGTGGTACCTTAAAGACTAACGCAAGTACAACAGGAGTTCTGATAAACTAGAATCCCTGTCATTAGAGCAATGTACTGCATCCAGGGATGCTTATGCTATAATAAATTTGTCAGCCTTTAAGATTCTCCAAAAATCAGAAAGCAACACCTTCAAAATACTTTTCTTAGGACCAAGGAACATGCCAAAACATGTGCAAGATTTTGAGATTCTCAGAACACTTAACCAAGCTAGTTGGTTAAAAATGAAATGAAGGGATTGGGGAAAAAACAGAAAAATCTAGGCCAAATGGAGGCTGGCCTTTATGTTTCCAAAAATGGAGACTGGCTCTTGCTTCTTTCCCAGCTGATCTGTGCTCTGACACAACTACCAGTTACCAATCCATTCAGCCTGCAAATTGCCATTTTGAGGCTTGGTCTAAAGTGCTGGCCACATCGCCACCAACTGCTGGCTTAATTTAAGCAACTGTGTGCTGTAATTATGTTGCATATACATATTTCTATTAAAGTCTGTAATGGAAATCTTGTACACTGTTCTATAAATTTCCCTGAAGGAGTAACAACATATGGTCTGAAACACATTGGAACAGTGTAGTTTTATTTATTTATTTATTTATTTATTATTTATTAAAACATTTTTATGCCGCCCCATTCGCCGAAGCCTCGGGGCGGCTTACAACATAGTAGTGTAGTTTTATGAATTAAAACAGTGTTTCTGCTCTATTCCCCCACTGGTCATATTCTGCCGTGTAACTAGGAGGCACCACTGCCCCTGACTCTGAAAAGTGGACCTCACTGGAAGACCCTGATGAGTAGCTGTAACTGACGTCTCACTCCTCCAAAATTTACTTCTCTGGAGGAGCCAATGCCGGCAAGAAAGGGCTTCTGGTCCTTTAACAGCTGAATATGGCACCTGGAGAGGTACAGCTTCCCAAGGATTCTTCTGGCTTGATTGTAATTGGATTGAAAAAACACAATAACTCACATGCAGGGTTTGAATATATTGAGTGTATGTTGCTACTGAAATCTTGGTTGTTGTTAAATGTAAGTTAGCATGCTGTCTGAACCCAGCCAAGATAATAAACCATGATGAACAACCCAACAAGAACCCATGAGTTCCCTTCATGGCTTGTTTGTGGTTAACAAGCCATGGCTCATAGGTGCAGCTGGGTTTGACCACCACCACAATGCACACTCAAACCATATTCAGTCCTTGAGTGTTGGTAATCGTGTTGTCTGAACCCAGCCTATAATTCCTGCCTGTTGCTCCCAGCTAATGCTGCCATAACACACCAGTATTCTACTACTGCTCTCCATGGTGCTGAAATGAACTCGAGTCCCAGTGCTGATCTTGTTGCTGGTTCCACACTGTATCTTTTCACCTGTCAAGGGCAGACAATGGAAACCCACATGACACAGGCTAGTCTCCCCACGTGAAAGTGTTTAAATGCCTTTCCAATCAGGGCCTCCTAGATTAGGAACACGATTATACTGGCAGCTCCCAGGGATTTGCTTCAATTTTCAGGATGCAACCCAACATCTCAAGCAGTTCCCTTCCAGTTCCAGTGTTAAGTGCCGAGAAGTGAATGCTTAGGAGAATAAGGCTGCTATGAAATTGAACAAGAGCCAATAATTATCCGACAGACCCTGAAATGAAATTAGACTGAGAAGAAGTCTGGGAGTCTCATTAAAGATGTTTAAGACTGGAATAAGAGACTGTTTTGAAGAACCCTAAATGAATGTGGGGGTATAAAGAGCTAGATTAAAGGAAAGAAGCAGTAATTCTTTTACTCAAGAGCTGTGGATAGTACATCAATATTTAAGGTCTTAAAATGAAAGCCCAAGACATTAAGAGCATTAAGCCAGATCGGCAGAAAAAGTGGTCCAGTATTCTCAGAAAATCCACGTTAAGCACTATTAACCATCAGTACCGTAAGTGTGTGTTTGTGTGTGTGGTGGGGGAGTCTCAGATCAGATCAGTTGCTTCCTTTACAATGAGGAATGCATTACCAGGTAAGCAGAAAGATATCGATGTCTATCACTCTACAGTATGAAAGCTTTTGATAGATTCATGACAAGAGTTAATAAGCCAGCTAGAGGAGTAAAAGGAGGTATCAAACTAAATGAATACCCATAGGCTGAGTTCAGACAACATGGCAAGCCATGATGGCCTTTTTACCACTGTCGATCTGTTGTGTTGTTGAACCCAGTGCAATATTTCACCTTGGTAAGTTTGGTCTTTAGAAACCACAATTTAAAAAACATCCGTTTGCTGCTGGTTTCTCTTTACCACCATGGCATGTCATGTTGTCTGACCCCATAATCATGGTTTCCATAGTCCTGGCATGCAACTACCATAGAGTTGCCAGGAAAGACTGGCCACTGCAGTAGCTGTTCCATCCACCAAGCCTCTGTGTGTGGACCGATGAGGAAGAAGCCAGCAACATAGGCAGGGAATGATACACCTTGGGATTGAAGTGAAAGAGGAAACTACTTGATCATCTGTACCGGACCATGGTAAAAAAGCCTGCAAACCATGATGCCCATGAAAGAATGCTTGTTGTCTCGTGTGAACCCAGCCACAGAGAAATCACAAGCATCAGCAGAGACCAGAGTGCCTCCCGATTAGTGTGCAATCAGCCCATCTCGCCTACAGAAAGTTATGGGGAATCCAGATGACACCATCTTCCTTTGTGCTCCCCAATACGTTTCAACTTTTTTTCTTACTACAAAAATCCATTAAGGAGTAAATGATGGAATAGCTGTACAATGTGTTTTTGTTACAGGTTTAGGAATGGCAAAGAATCTGGAAGTACTGAGGAATAATTAATATTGAACTGTGAACAAGGCATCACATGTGCGTGTTTTGGGGGGATAGTTCATCTACCATCTTTGCCATTTTAGCAGGTCAGGCTAAGAATATGCCTTGTTAGGATGTCCTAATACAATAAAAATGGTTCAGAAGCAATTTTATATCAGCATTTGTTAAAGATTTTGAGATTTGCTCATAATATAAGCTACTTGTAAAGAAAAAAATATGGATGCCCTTAAAGAATGACCACGAAACACCAAAACATTGTTCCGTTGGTAAGATTTCCCAATTATTCCCTGTGTTATAGGAAAGAGAGAAGAGAAATCCACAGTGAGTCCTTTCCACTGTGAGCAGCTCCTATGCAGATTTTCTAGCAACACAAGTATTAATTTGAACTACCTGATTGCAATATCTACTTCTCTTTGGAACACTTGGAAGTGGATGAAGTTTCACCTCTAAATGCACAGGAATTAAAACAATATTCACTAAAATACTTCACACATAAAAAATACTGCTCTTTGCTGCCACTGAAAGAAAGCCATTTGATTTTAAATTTCAGCGATACAGATTTTCTTTGGTTTACTCTCAGGAAGGAGAGATGACTTAAGAAAAATCAAGAGAACTAAATATGCTTTTACGTGGTTAGACAGATGTCCGTCAGAAATACCCTAGCTATAAAATGCCTATCCAAGGTCACTGTATCAGACTATTGAGTCCCCTTTCAAGTCTATATGTTTTTAGAGAGGCAAAACTTCTCCAATATCCACAATTCTCTCGCAAATAAGAATTCAATGCTTCTCTTTCTAGTCCAGCAACAGAAAAGACATCACAGTCTAAGATGTTTATCTCCTTTATTGTTCTCTTAGCATAGCTTTTCTGGCAATCAATAGCAAAGGCAATGGAGAAAGAGCACAATGGAGACATAGTAGGAAAGCTAGGCTTGGCAGCAGGTTACTGTTAAGAGCATGACGAGCTGCACACAGAAGGGATTTCTCTTCAATTGTCTTACTTAATAGAGTCTGAGTCAAGGTGAAGCAAGGCAACACTTTCAGCATTTTTAAATGTACACATGGAACAACGAGCTGTCAAGTTTTTTGGCATCCGTGACCTTCAGGAAGTAAAAGATTGGTCAATGTTCTTTGCTCAATGGGTTTCCCATCAGTGGTGATGGTCAAGATCCAGGGGCACTACAGAACAAGAACTGGGGTCCTTCTGGTGAAGTTTTAGGCTCTTGGCTAATCTGGAAAGACCCACCAACTGTTAAACATTCCCCAAATGACCCATCTTGCTTTTTGATTGGTTGGGAGTCCTGTATCAGCCCTTTTGACTCAGGGTACTTAGTCCTTGATCTTCAGTTGAAGCCCCTGACTCAGGAGACCCAACCTGCCTTTCCCAGCCTTGATTCTTCTTTCTTTGGCTTGTTCCTTCACCTGCTACAAAGCTGCTTTCTTGGAAGTCAGCAACTGCTTCTATATGCCTGATAGCGGGACATGTCCCATTCAAACAGAATTGGTACGGCTCCCTATGATTCTTAGTTGTAAGACTGTGTTCTAAGCTTGGGAAAAAAATAGCACCTCAAGGTTCTCCATTTGCAAGTAAATTGGAAGCCACAGATAAATGTGCCCCAAAGAAAGGAACAGTTACAACACAGTTATCATTATTGATCCACAGCAAAGAGAAAGAGGTGATGTAGCAATCTTTACACACAAATTGCAAAAGGAAAATGTGCAATAGCCCAGTGAAAAAGAAAACCAGTCACACACTTGGGCATAACGAACATGTGAACTGATCATTAGGCAAATCCTGCTTTTGCAAAAACTGCAAAGGATCCTGGACATATAAAATAATTCTTCAGTGAGAAGGAAATCAATTTAGAAATTATAGAGAAGGTAGTATATACACTCCTGCTTAGCTGCCAGTCTCTCCACAAACACTCATTGGATTACTGCTCATCAGTGTAGCTACTGACAGGTGCTTACTTCGGGCTAAATAGTTTCTTGCCCATTGCAGCCACCCGTCTGTTTCCTTCTTTCTCGGGGCCAAATTATAATTGAAATTTCAGGTAGTAGTAATTTTAGGTTTTTTCCTTGCCAGAAAGGTACAATAAATCTTCATATTAGTGATACACTCACCCTGATGTAAAAGGGCCATTTGCCCTTATAGTAAGTGCTCCATCCTTCAAAGTCATCACTAAGATGCCCCTGATACAGGTGTTTTCACCAAGCAGATAAGGCAGGCAGGAGCACCATATCCAGAGCTGTCTAATCTCTACAGTCCTTATTAATATTTTTATTTAACTAGGTAAGCTTTAGGTACTTTCTGTTTTCGATTCTGTTGGATTCTTACCATGGCTACTTCATCTTTTCCCTTCAGTGACTGCCTTTAGGGTTTTTATGAGCTTTTTAAAAAAACTGCTTTTACTGAAACCCATTATGGATGTTTTTAATTGAAAAAGTCAGATATAAATGTATAAATAAATAAATAATATAGAACAATAAATACATAAATTCACTGTTTAAATTCGCTTTTCTCTGTGGAATACCTCTGGGAAGCACACCAGGAAAGCCTGAGATATTACCGAATCTATTGCTCTGGGATTAAGGGATGCACACACTTAATAGGGGCAGGCGTACAAAGATTGCTCAAAACCTCCCTGTACCCAGTTTAGACATTTCCATGTTCCTTTCACAGCTATGATGCTTAGATGCCTTTAAGGACAAATGATGAATGCAGATGAAGGCTTCCTCAAGTAGCTGAGGAAGTTGAAGACGGAGGGATTATGCGCTCTTATGCAACCCAGAATGTTCCTTGGCTCTTGTGCAACCCAGAATGATCCTTGGCTCTTGTGCATCCCAGAATGATCCTTGGCTCTTGTGCAACCCAGAATGACTCTTGGTTATTCCACAGCCATGGATTATTTTGTGGATATGGAGGGGGGAAAAGCACCCAGTGCTGTGGAGAGATCCACATATGCACACCAAAGCAAGCCTCAAGAGAGTTTACCTGCTCGTCTATCTTTCTCTGCAGCTGGACAACCTTGTTCTCCATGCCAACATTGAGCCTCTTCAAGTGCTCTGCTGACCGCGCCTCTATCTTCAGGTCCTTCAGCTCTTGCCTGGCCTTCATGCGCCTGAAGTAACACTGGATGACCACAGCAGCACTTCTGAACCTGGCAAAATGCTTCCGGGTCAGCCAAGCCCGGACATGCTTCTGGATGACGGTGGCCCTGTGCTCCATAAGCACCTGCAAAACACAGGGATAAAGTGACCCTCACGGGGAGGTGGGAGTGGGGAGCCCAAAGGGCATTGCCCCATCATGGTGCTGCTTTCACAGTTGCAGCAGTGTATCTCTTTCCTGCTATGAAGACGGTTCTTGAGCTATCGAACTGCAGTTGTGTCAGGAGCGCAAGCGCCACTCTGCAGGACTCTCAAGGCTCCTAGCTGCAGCTTTTTTCAAAGCATAGCTAACACAGGACATGGTTACTGCCTCCTCGGCTCAGTCCTAAGGTCCTATGGGCCGCCACTGGCCGGTCTGATCCAGCAAAGCACTCGTGTTAATGATACCTGCAGTATCATTCTCCAGATCATTCTAATTTGACATCTGTTCTCAGATATTAATCTTCAAGTACAAAGTGCTTGTGTCTTGTGGTAGCTGTGTACAGCAAAGCGCATTAAAACTTAGCTATTCTGTGACTCCACAAATGCCAAAGATGGTTACTACCTTAAATGCACTAAGAATTCTCAAAAGTCTGCCAGGAAATGATTATATTCAGATCACAATGGCTGGCTTTTGTTTTGTTTTGTTTTGTTTTGTTTTGTTTTGTTTTGTTTATTTTCCTTTTGTGGGACCATGGCAAGTCTGCTCCTGGACTTTTCCAGCATGAGCAAAACCTGCCATTTTGTAACCTGAATAAGTCGTGCGGAAAACCGGACAGATGTAGGCTTACAGATTCTTGCTCTCAAGTGAACAAGTTCGATGCCCCTTTTGCCACAAGTAGAGTGTGGCCACCATGAAAGAAACCCAAGTGAGGGCAACACGAGTACCATCTGTGAGAGCAAGTTCACCAGGCAGATGTGTTTCCAGGTATGACTCAGAGAAACACTGCTCTGTCAGGTAAGTCCTTCCCAGAGTAGCTGATGTGAGATGACATTTCCAAACTTCCTCTTTGCCTTGGGGCACCTTTCTGTGTGAACAGCTCCATTAAGCTAGCTCCTCAAGGGCCTACAGGAAGAACCACTGCTTCCGTCTGCACAGCTCGAACACCAAAATAACCCCAGTAAATGCTATTGGACTCTGAAAACGCACACACTACTAGTTCAGGAAAGAAATGGGTTGTGAGGGGGCAGCCTAAACAGAAAGAGCTGGCCATGAAATTTAGAAAGCGCTGAAAGATTAACCCTAATAGGGAATATCATACACTGCTTCGAGCGAAACATGTCTGTGTCATCTCACCATTTCTTCATGAACAGATAGGAAATTATCAAAAGAGGGCTTTGACTATAGGAGAGTATACGAGTGTTACCAACGAACAGTCGTATAAATCATCAAATATACAAAAGACACTCAAAACTGTTGGATAACAACAGTTGCACAAGGTATGTTTTGGACTCTCCACTCACTGTAGTTCTCCCAGGTAAATTAAACAGCCCCTGATAATCTGCTCAGCACATTCAGCTACACTAAATGCCTCCGTACTGAGGTAAGTGCTTTCCCACAATTTTAGATGAGCTGAAGAAAAGCAGTGATTATGCCCCAGGTGTCCTTCTCTAGGGCTATCGTGCCTAGTTTGCTCTGGAGAAAACAGTTTCACTAGCATTACGGCAGCACCTGTGGTATCGTTGACGTAGTGTTTTGAATACCTTTTCTCTTGTTTAACTGGACATCATGATGCAGCCTAGCAGAAAGAGTTTCTAAGTTGGTCCTCAAAATCATGGTAGCTAGTCAAGGTTGGGGCCAAGCCTGATTCCTAAAGCAAATTCCAGAATGCAGAATTCACAAATCTGTCTCAGGACAGTTTTCACAATATTTGCAATTTCTCTCTATTGTACACAGTCCCTGCTTTGCTGGGCCGGAAGACACCCATCATTCAGAAGCAGAGGACATGCTTTGTATACAGAAGGTCCAACCTATGGACTCTGTTTTGAAGAAGCAGACAACACGGTTGTCTAATGACAGGTGTAACCCACATCTGTCTCCCCAGTCTCTAGCACAGTTTTGCAACTGCTTAAAAACACCGCAATTGTCTGTGTGAAGGGGAGAGGGTGAGATAAGGTGACACACAAATTTTGTATCAGCTGTTGCAACCTGTAGAACAAGACTGCATTCTCATATCTTTTGCACAACACTGAACTGGCAAATCCACTGCTTGACCAGCTGCTTCCATATAACCTGAAGTGCTTGATCCTGCCTACTCTTGGAAGCTAAGCAGGATCGGGCCTGTTTAGGATCTGGATGGGAAACTTGAGTGTATGATTCTATGATTATTGTTGTAAACTGCCAGAGAGTTTCAGCTATGGGCAGTATAGAAAAGTAGTAGTAGTAATAAATAATAATAATAATAATAATAATAATAATAATAATAATAATAATAATATCACTGAGAAGGTTCTGTCTGTCTTCAGTTAAAGACAACCTACAAGGATAAGCTGCAGCCAGGATGCTGATCTGCAAAGTGGAGAGTGACTAACCTCTGGAAGGCAAAAATCATATTATCAAAAGAAGAAGCACACCTTTTGGTAGATCTTTCTGACAAACATTCCTCGGGTGAAGGCTTGGATCGTGATGACAGCTCGGCGGATGGTTTGGTATTCATGGCGGATCCTCAACATCCGATATTGCTTCTGGAAAATAATGGCTGCCCTTGTTTTCCTCAGATGATCAGCCAGTCTGTGAGAGAACAAGGATGACAAGAATCAACAGCCACCAAAGGGACCTGCAACGGGACAGTCTGTCCACAAACCCTGACACAAGTCCCAGCCAGTCAGACCTGCTCTAGCCCACTCCCTTCCACACCCCTTCTCGTTCCCCTTTTCTTTTTCTCAGCTTTCTTTGCCTACTTGGCATGCCCGGTCCTCACTGGTGAGGGGGACACCATGGTTCCCCCAAGCACATTGCTGGCCCCCTCTTGTTTCCCGGAGGCCCTGCTTGGTTCAGTTTCTGCAGCACTCGCTTCCTGCGTTCTACTGGAGAGAGTGATTTTTCTGAAATCAAGAATAGGGACGTGTGAGGAATCTGGGACGGGTTTTGTGGGAGGAAGTCAGACGACTAAGACTCCAATAATGAGATTCTTGTTGAAATGGTCCAAACCACAGCTGCAGTTCAAGCTCTTGAGGCACTGCAGGGTTTAGTTGTGGGAGATACTAGCTCAAGGGCAAACAAGGGGCATCTTTAGAAAACTGTAGCTTGCCTTGAGAATCCTCTGTCAAGATGGTATTTGGAGCTCCTGGCTCACAGCTCAGTCTTCATCAGCTAATGCCTTAGAATCATAGAATAGCAGAGTCGGAAAGGGCCAGAAGGCCACTGGGTCCAGCCCCTACTGCTGCAGGACACCAGGTTGCACCATCCCTCTCAGACATCTGTCCAGATGCTTTCTGAATTTCTCTAGTGAGCGAGAGCCCACAACATCCCCAGATAACAACTTCCATTGTTATATTGCTCTGTCAGTGAGGAAATTCTTCCTGGTGCCTAGTCTAAATCTGGTTTCTTTTAACCTGAGTCCATTATTCTCTGGAATGAACAGGAAGAGATCTTGTCCTTCCTCTTTGTGACAGCCTTCCCGAGACTTGTAGAGAGTTGTTATAGCTCCCTGCAGCCTTCTCTTCTCGAGGCTGAACGTGCCCAGTTTTCTCAGTCTTTCCTCATAGGGCATTGCCTCTGGCTCCTGAATCATCCTTGTTCCCCTCTGTTCCCTTTCTAGCTTTTCTGCATCTTTTAAAAACTTGGGTCCTCACAAGTGGAAGAAGATGCAGGGTTGGAGTTCTTCGGTGAAATGCCAAGGCTAACCTTGCACAGTTTGCGTTCTTCTCTGGGGAAAACGCCACTGAAAGCATCAGTGGCGGGTTGCAGAAGGGAGATGCCCTTTCCGGTTCAGCACACAGCACAAATATATGCCTTGTCCACTCAATTAATAAGAAAGCCCATGCCCCATCTGGGAACTTCCAAAATCTTGGCTATAGGATCTGAAACATTCTGAAACTTACTTCAGGATTACACACACACATAAATGTAGCACACAGATTTAATTTCTCTTAAGCATTCATGCTTTGTCCTTAAATTTTAAAAATGTTCTCAACATGGTTAGCTGCTGAACTCCCCCGGCACCAAAACCGAGCTGGATTCCTGGGCACAAAGAGTCCAGCACAATGGGCAGCAAATTGATTTGACATTTGGAGGAACGTGCTCTGGCTTGGCAACACCTTGGAGCAGGGCTGCAAGCAATCCCAACATGGTACTTAATTTGGGATTTATGTAGTATCCTTGTGCACCATCACCTTTCAGAACCTTTCCTTAGGGAATTTATGTCCAACTTCTTATTACATCTTCCTCAATAAATATTTATAAAAGCAGAAGTTATAAAAGACAGTTAAGTGTGCTTCATCAGTTTTTATGATTTTTTCTTTGCTTGGAGGGATTAAAAAGAGTGGGCGTGGAGCCTATTCCTATGGAGTTTCGATTCCTGCAGGGCTCCCCACTTTTGTCAGATGACAGAAAATGCATTTATTACACGAGGAGGAAAGAGGTGCCAGATTGGTGAAAAAGACTTTCACACATAGCAAGGCAGACATAAGTCACAAAGAATAGGGTTCAAAGTTACTCCAAAAATGAAAGACAACCATTTTAGGGCAGATTATTTAACAAACAGTTAGGAAGTCATAGGCTTTCTGTTGCCAAGTTCTTCCATGAGATTAAATTTGTCAGTTCTGAGAAGCAACATCAGCTATTGGTGGTCTTCAGTGAGAGTCACCAATTATTTGCCCCCTCCAAAAACAGGGGAGGGAGAAAGAGATTCTGCTAATCCTTCAGATTATAGATATGGCATATTTATATGAACTGGATTATGGCTCCAATATAAAATCCCTCATTTTCAAAGCTATCAACGTCATAAAATAATTTATTTCTGTGTCATTCATTCTAGAAATAGCTGTAGAGATGAGCTCAGTTCTTCCAAAAAAGAGCATTCCCAGTTAGAAAGCCCACACCAGAACGCGAAGTAGCCAAAGAGGGACAGGTGTTGAAAGAAATGGCACAGATATGTCAAGGCGAATGAGTGGGAGTAGTTGGACAGCTGCCAAGAACCAAACTAGTTTGGGTTCATGGGGGGATGCTGGAGAACCTGGAGGGTGTGAGGAGGAGTGTGTGAATTCATTAACCCAGTGAGCCAACATCAAGCCAGAAGAGTGGCCCAATGAAGCAATGCTTCTACTGTCTGACCCAGAAGCAACACAAACCTCCCTAAGGGTGGAGCCAGGGCTTTTGGAAAAGGAAGGGAAGAGGGAGTTTTCTATTTTGGAATCAACCATTCTCATGGGGAAGAATGGTCCCCATAAACCAGAGGAAATGTTAGTTTGATTGATGTTACTTGAGAACAACCTCCTTCTAAAGCACCCCTTGCCACAAAAACCCATCTAGCTCAAATAAAGGACTGTATGTCCAAAGCCTCTTGTTCAGATCTGCTGGGAAGGGAAAAGGAGAGAGACATGCTCATGACCGTGCTTCTTCGGCTCACCTGCGTGCCTGGTACCCGCGGGTGTACTTCTGGATTTTTATTGCTGCCTCCCTCATCTTCCTGTACTGCACTCGCTGGAACCAGCCACGCATCGTCTTCTGTATCATGATAGTGGCAGCACGGAACTTATCCGCCCGCAACTTCTCCAAGTATGCCACCTGGCCAGCTCGGAAAAAGATCTTCGTGCGCCCAAACTGGAACTTGTCAGGGTCCTTTTGTGAAAGCATTCAAGGCAACAGGTTAAGAAAAGCAAATGCTTACTTTTCTTCCACCAACACCTAAGGTTCTGTATGGCATTTTACAACCAGCTGGCATTTTACAGAGAAGTTGCACATCTGTACAGATCATAAAAGGTAAAGGTAAAGGTAAAGGTAAAGGTTTCCCCTTGACGTTAAGTCCAGTCATGCCTGACTGTAGGGGAGGTACTCATCTCTGTTTCCTAGCCAGGGAGCCAGCGTTTGTCTGCAGACCGTCTCCATGGTCAGGGCCGGCATGACTAAACACTGAAGTGTACGGAATGCTGTTACCTTCCCACCAAAGTGGTACCTTTTTATCTACTTGCATTTGCATGCTTTCAAACTGCAAGGTTGACAGGGACGGAGCAACGGGAACTCACCCTGTTGTGCAGATTCGAACCGGTGACCTTTCGATCAACCAGCCCAGCAGTTTAAGCCACTGTGCCACCTGCATCATAGGTGTCCCAAAATGAGGCATTTGATCCCTTTCCCACCTGCCAGGCTAGGGCCTGGGGAATAAAGGTGATCAAAAAGCAACTAAATATATCCAATCCCCTCTTTTCCGGATACCTACAGAATTTCCAGAATTATACCATGCACAACTTCAAATTTATTTTCTTTTGCCCCAGGTGTTGGTGGTGCAACTCCACTGATATTTCAGTATTAGATTAATCAAAGAGGGGGCATAGCTCTATAGCACAGCTCATCCTTGGTATGCAGAAAAGCTCAGGTATAATTCTTGACATTTTCCATATCAAGGGACTGGAAGGAACTCTTCTGGTTGACTTCTTGTTACAAATCAGGGTAACACGCTTCCATGAAAAGTATTTATTTATTTAAAACATTTCTATGCCACCCCCATCGCGACAAAGCCTCAGGGCGGCTCACAAAAAACACATAAAAACATACATAAATAATAATAATAATATAATTTAAAAGAAAAATACATTTAAAAACCCCCGGTGCATTCTCGGCTAATTTTAAAATCCTAATTAATTCAATAATTTAGCAATTAAAATAAGTTTTAAATAAAAAGGTCTTTTTTATTTACATTAAATAAATGTATATTAACATTCCTATACTGGCAATACCCAGGTTACAGATGTCTAAGTTATGAACAACCTGCATTTACGAACGAACTGCCATACAACCTATTAACTTTTAATAATTACTGCAGGAAATCGCCAATACCACAGAGAGAGAAGAAGTGAAACGGGAGAGAGGGAGGCCTCTAAAGTATCACCATAGATAGAGATGAAGTGAACGGGTAGAGAGGAAGGCCTCCAAAGCATGTCTCCCTGCCCCGCCCATGTGGAGAGGCATTTCCTCGCTGCAAAGAGGAGGCATTGGTGAGTTTCAGAGGGATGGAGGGGCTAGAGATATTTGTGGTTTTTCCATTTGTGCCAGGAAAATGTAGAGGACTTACTATATGTAATCTGGCTGACATACAAATTAAAGATGAATTTCTGTTTTCTCCAGAACAGAACAGAACTCGTTCATAACCCAGGGACTACCTGTACTCAGTTTTGGTTAATGAGTTAAACTGGTCACAGGGATAAGTGACAGAGACCTAGGGTCATGGTGGAAAACCTGAGGTCCTCCGGATGTTTTGGCCTACATGACAGAAAATTGTCAGGGACTTGGAAAAGCTTTCTACCCTAGAAATGTATGGCCATTTTATACCAGTTCTATTGTCATAGCATTCCCAAAGAATCTTGAGAGCTTGGTGAGTCGCTGTTGGAGATCCCCACGACCTTCCACTGCATGAGAACTACAACTCGCAGATGCCCCTACCAGAAGGAATGACTGCTAAACCAGTACAGAAATAATGCTTACTTTAGATTAACCAGGCGAGGGTAAAAGGGAACAAAGGAATTTGGAAGAAGCTGTTAAAATGAACTTCAAATGTTCAAAGAAGGTCCTTCTATTATTATTATTATTATTATTATTATTATTATTATTATTATTATTATTATTATTATTTCATTGCATTTATATGCCACCTTTTTCTTCTTGTGAGGAACCCAAAATGGCGTACAAGGCTCTGTGTTATCCTCAGAACAGCAACCCTGTGAGGCAGGCTGGGCTCAGAGTCTGTGACTGGCCCAAAGTCACCCAGTGAGCTCCATGGCTGAATGGGAGCTACGACCTGGCTCTCCCAGGTCCCCGGTCCACAACTCACCTCCACGCCACACGGGCTCCGGAGTAAGGACGAATAAGAATTCCCATGGTCAAGCTCATTTATTCATTTTAATCCTCCTGGATTAACCCCAGGCTCCTCGGGTTACATTCACAGCCGGTTACCAGGTAAGGGGGAACTCAGGTACACCGTCAGTGGAGCAAAGCCACACACAACTGAGTTGGTAAATGGAAAGGCCCGTAATAGCACCCACCTTAATGAGGCTTTCCAGCAGTGTTTTGCAAATCAATTTCTTGTCTTCCTTTTTTGAGATGTCCCTTTTTTTCATAAGAATTCGATACCTATTCAAGAAGTCATGGTAGGTCCACCTGAGAAGGAAGCACAGTCTTTGAAACAACTTCTTTAACCAGGAAATAAAAACAGTCGCATGAAATGCGAGTCTAGAGTTACTCCTTGAGCGATACGTGGGGCAGCCATCCAGACAGAGGCTGATAAAACTACAGCAGACCTACAGAAGCAAGTCCCGAACATTTTCCCCAAAACGACCGTTGAACGTTATATCCTCTTTCGTTCACTTGCACTGATAAAGTAATGAGCATTCTGCATTTGGAAATGCCAAATTGGTTTTCAACTCTTGCAAAACAGATTGCAAATGGTGCAAACCCCAGAATTTCCCCAAGCAGTGTAAGTTTTCAGTGCTAAGCTTCAGTAGCCACCCTTGGGTTTCCAGCCACGTAGAAAACATTTTCCAGAAAACCAGAGTTGCTGTTATTACATTTATTAATTTATTTCAAGCATTTCTACCCTGTTCCTTACAGAGGTCGCAAGACGACGTAGTTCTGTACACAAAGGGAAATGGGGATTGGTTACAGCTTCCAATAGCACGTACACAGGGGTTGTTTTTTGCAAAACGCCAGTACTAATTTTTAATCCACTGTTGTGCACTCTAAGCAAGGAGGAAAGTTAGACTGAAACAAGTCAGAAGTTGTAGAATTGATCAGTGAAATTTTGTAGAGATGGCTACCTAGTTTGCCACCCAGAAGGCCAAGTTAGATGGCAAAGAAGGCAACTATGACGGGGGCACAAAGTATCCTTATCCATAGGCTTCAAAGCTACATGAAAAGGAAGAAGTTAGTGAGTAGTTTGCTTCCAAATCTTCAGTGCAAATCATTCATATTGGAGCTCGTTGTGTCAGCATAAATTCTCAGCACCAACAGCAGGCTCAGTGGACGGTCCGGACCAGGTTTTCCTAAGCAGTGTGCTCCAAATATTTTGGAGTTGTTTCTGACCAGCTGGCTAGCACTGTTTGGAGCTGAAGTCCAAACATCTGGAGGGGAGACCCAAGTTTGGAATGTAGGAATGCTGACTAAGCAGTGTGAGACTGTTCTGACTTCCCAACAGGAAAACCATGTTTCACAAGGCATTGGTTTGGGGACTAAAATGTCAGGGCTCTTCCCATTAATGCCAGAAGCTTTCCAGTTCTTGCAGCCCCCAGTAGGTAACACCTGGCCTGCAAAACATGGCTCAACAGATTCTGATAGGTTCGATTTACAGCATGCCAACGTTCATCCCGGCAAGCTGCTCTTTCAAGTTAGACATCCACAACCAGGGACTGATGGATTGATGATTTATTCAGCCATGAAACTCAAAATGCAAACAAATGGTGTGGAATGCATGGAACTTAGTTCAACTGCTGTGGATTTCCAGACTTTCCTATGCATAAAGCAGGAAGACCCTGCTTCCTAATCATCTCTCTGAGCAGCAAGCCTAGGCTTCTGCGACTCCAGCTTCTGCAAGAGCAACCTGGCTGCCACTCCAGAAGTCCTTGTTAAATCTTTGTTTCCAGTTACATTTTTACATTGAATCTTTGGGGTTCTGCTGAACCACAAACAGACTGTGGCAAAGAGCACACTCTTCTCCTGCTTGGGAGAAGCTTCTCCTGCCGTCATATTCAGATTTAGAGCTTGCAGAAGAGATTCTGAAATGGGCTCACTGCCTGCCAAGTTTCAGCCCACTGCAAATTAAAACTGCTGAGTTATGGACTTCTCAAAATGAGCCTTTTAAATAGAATCACTAGGAGATTCTGGGGCTGCCAACTACTGCCGTAATTAAATACATGCAAGTGGGAAAGGGAGGGGAGGGGAGAACCCTGAAGCCCTGAAAAGCTCAAAGTTGGATGAGGCACTGCTTCTTTCTCCAGCTTTTTGCAACAACTGGAACTCAAACTCTGGCAAAAGCCAAAAAATTAATTGCATTTTGTCTTCTTTAGTAGGTACACATCCTCCACCCAACATGAATTCTCACTTATTAAAATGCCAAAGGCACAAATGGCACTCTACAAAAAGAGCTTGCATCCAACACTCTCAACAACGAAGTTGGGCTTACAGCCCAGTTCATGTTCCAATGATTTTTCCCTTGCAACAGAACATGGGAACATCTATGGACATCCTCACAGAACAAAGGCCCATAAACAGCATGACCGGAGTGTGCTAGTTGCTTGTAAGAAGTCCAAGTTCATTCTGCCCCATCGCAGTTTCCAAGGTCCTAATTGGGTAAGAGAATGTGCATTTGTTTCTCCAACTGCAACTGCTTTGCAGACATGTTTCCATTTTCTAAGGTAAGCTGCAGTATTAGGTCAGGTCCTGAGGGCAAACTTAGACTTTTTGCACAGGACAATGCAAAAAGAAAGTAATTGCTAGGCAGGGCAGCATGTTGTGAATTGGCTGTTACAATCAGCTGCAAACACAGCCCTGAAGAACAGTTCCATACTGGTGCAGACACATCAAACTGTTTGCAAAAGCCGAAGTTCTTACATAAAATCTAGAGAGAGAGAGAGAGAGAGAGAGAGAGAGAGAGAGAGAGAGAGAGAGATTGATTTAAAAAACCCTTGATTGGTAGCTATGTTAATTTATGGACCCTGATTTCCTAGAAGGGACCACAAGGCTGCCAAGGGGACATTATGAAAAATCATTCTGCAGAGAGGGGTGCTGGTAGAAAACATTTCAATTATGTATGTGCAATGTCTGTAAAAATTTAGCAGCTGCAATTTTTATGCCAAACTGGTACTAGGCTGCAGCATCCGACAGACAGTTCAGATGAACGAAAGAGGCATGAGTGAGAAGACCAGAACATCCAAGTGACAACTCAAACAGCTTCTGGCTAAATAAGGTTAGGTATATGGTTGAGGAACTGGTAAGGACAAGTGAATCACCACAGTTACGTTTGATTTTTTTCTTGCATATTTTGGCATATTTTCACAGGCCAGGAAATGCTGTATCATTATAATCATCAGTTGCTAATTGCACAGAAACTGCAGTAATTTAAAAAATGAATGCTGGAGATTACTCAGGAAAGAGAATTCTGTATTGAACAGTACATTTTATATTGAACTTCCTTTGCTCAATGAGCATAAAATTTCTATTTTACTATATGTTGGAGATATGACACTTACATCTTAGGCTGAGACAGGGCTTAGAAAAATCATTGATTAGATTGGTTAATTACTGTGATAAGTAAAATTGGGGATTAATTGTGATAAAACAAAGGTTATGGTCATTGGTAGGAGCAAAGCCAAGCACAGATGGACAATTCATGTTCAGCAAATAGAACAATGCCCCTTCTACAAATATTTGGGCATTTCATTCAAGAATTTTCTTTCTTGGAATGTACATCTTAACACAGCATCAACAATGGCCCATTGTATGGTTGAAGTTATTCTGAAACTGTTCTCTTTTCTAAGGGAGGCCAGTTCCCCTTCATGGATCACTGCCTTGCTGTGGCGAAGGGGCTTGCGTAGCTCAATGAAGCTATGAGCCATGCCGTGCAGGGCCAGCCAAGACGGACAGGTCATAGCAGAGAGCTCTGACAAAAGGTGATCCACTGGAGAAGGAAATGGCAACCCACTCCAGTATCCTTGCCATGAAAACCCCATGGACAGATGGAGTCACTGGGGAGGTGGGTGTGGGCTTGGGTGGACTCCGAGGGATGGTGGAGGACAGGAGAGCCTGGAGAAATATTTTCCATGGGGTCGCAATGGGTCAGGCACGACTTTGTGACTAAACGAACGAAAGAGAGACCAGTTAGCAGTCCCTGTACTTAAAATATTTTAGGGCAAAGTATGGGGTAGAAATTTGGGGTTGGAACAAGAGAGTTCTTACCCAGAAGGAAATAATTTATACTAATTTCTACAGGTTTCCCTCAGGGCACTTGTGCTGCCAGTGAAGGACAGACAGGGTCACCCTCAATTTCTGTAAGAGTTCATCTTTCATTGGTAAACCATTTTAAGAAATCGGTTTTCTGGAAGACCATTTAGCTTAATCCTGCTACTAGATCTACCGGGAGGGGACCCAGTGGGACACCATGTGGTGTCTGAGTTTGCATTGTATTCTTTGCCTGCACTGGAGGACATAAAGACCTGGGTTACAGGAACATAAAAGAGATGGTGACTTAGTTCCTCATATGGAAGCCAGACATGATCCTGGCAGGATCCTGCACTCCAAGTTCCGCTTGTGGCACCCTTTCTTTAAGGAACAAATTTACTTCACAGGATTTACTTAATATGACAATTGAGGGCAGATTCTGCAAATTCTTGGGTCGGGGAAAGTGGAAGGCATTAAACATTCTGTCCTGCACTGCCTGCTTGACGTAGAAAGTGGGCCAGCGACTTGCTCTCTGCCAGCTTTCCAAGGACCTGTTATTGGACTGTAAGGGGAAGACCCTGGAGAAGAGGCGATGGGCGAGCAGGAGGATCAAAGCAGGACAGGAGCCTCTGAAGCCCCATCAGGGTCGTTTCCCAAGGCAACTGAGAGCAGACATGTTTTGAAAAGGACAGGAGGGGATTCAGGAGAGAGGGGAGAGCCCAGCTGACCCCATCCATGGCGAGGTGTTGGGAGGTACGAGCTACCCAGTGAGAGGACATGAGTCAGACCTGCTGGTGAGCTTTCCACCAGTGCAAGCTACCCTAAGGGTGGGCTCTGCAGCGCGAATGAAAGGGGAGCACTGGGGGAACGTTTCCAGTGTGGGTTCAACTCTCATTCATTCTTTACATGAGCAGAGGCTAGAGGCTTTCAGGTTTGCATTGCCTTGTTGTCTGCACTTGTCTTGTGTTTTGGAGACTGGGGCAAGAAAGGATGGGTCAGGGTCGAGACACAATGGCACAGTTAGCCAACACCAGGCCAGATTATAGCTGAATTCTTAGGTTCAGAAGTGGAATGCAGTCATTCCTCGCTGGCAAATGCCCCTCCTTACATTATCTACCAGATGGCCATTTTTAGTTGACCTTTAAAATAAGAAAGAGAATAATGTTGGCTAATATTGCAAAACACACTGCTTAACTGTAGATTAAGACTGAAGTTAATATTGCATTCAT